CTAGACACTAGATAAGCTCACTGCAACAGGGATATCATTGCCTCTAGGTCTCTTCAGTAGACAAAGCTAGGAAATATATGTATGAATGCATGTATGTATATGTATGTGTATGTATATCTTTGTGTCCTGTGTACATGGGAATACACACATCCGTAGTAATTTAATCTATATTAGTTTAATCTATATTACTTTTGATATCTGCAAGACTCACACCCCTTCCCATTTTAGTCCACTGCATAGTTCATTCTGTCTTGTATTTCCATATTTTTAATTCCATTCTCTGACAGTGAAAAACGTGGCTCCTGCTATCTTCAATTTACTTACTCATTTTCATCTGTAATGAGTTGTCTCCTTGACCCCATTGGTGCAGGCCCTGTCAAGGTCATCCTGTTTTTGGCTATGACTGCCTGCTTGGTCACAGTAAGCTTCCTTGCTCTAGGCCTCAGCTGCCAAAAGAAAGAAAAGGGAAGGAAAGACCAATCTTTTTTTTTTTTTCCAAGTAAAAAGAAAGAGGACGCCCACCATTTTAAAAATATTTGAATCTATCTACAGTGTCGGAACATATTATCATTGCATACTATTTGCTTTCCCTCTTAATCATCATTTAATCTTTGTAGGTCACGATACTTTTAATTTTCCCATCAGTCCTTATGTATCTCTGATTATTTTGGATTCCTGAAACTTGTTCTCTAGTAGATTCCTAGGAAAGCCTTCTAGGAACTGTGCTTCCTAAGTTCTGGAATGTTGAAAACAGTTCATCTGTGGTCTTAATGCTTGAAGTTATTTTGGTGGTTATAAAATCCTTGGCTTCAGTTTTCTTTCTTTAGATATCTAAATATGTTATTCTGTTGTTTTGCGCAAGTACTACTGATGAGCAAAGACTGATAACAATCTAGTTTTCTTTCCTTCATAAGTCATTTGATCTTTTTGTCTGGAAGCCCAGTTAATTTTATTAGACTATATCTTGGTATTCGTTATTCTGGCATTATTCTGGGTTAATATTCCTAGACATGTAATTTGCCCTTTCATTATATGGCTTCAGATGTTTCTGTTTTTATATCAAAAGTTTTCTCCAGTCACTGTATATCTGTTTTATCTTTCTTCGTCAGGACTGATACGTATGTTGGATCTTCTTTAACTACAATATTTGCCATTTTCTTTCTAGTTTTTGTCTTTTTCATTTAAAAAAAAGTTCCTCTCCTATATTCTGTTCCACTTACGCAACATTATATGTTGTGTTTATTAACTCCTTGTTTCTCCTAGTTTATTCTTTTTTGAATTGATTTCTTATTTCTGATAGAGAGATAGATACTTTTGGGGGTTGTCTTAATTCTAAATATGTTGTTACTTTGTATTACCTTTAATTTCTTGAAGTCTTTTCAGCATGGTTTGAAAGTACTAGGTTATAGTGTTTACCTGTTTTGTCAGCAAGTCTTTGCGGTGTGCTTTCATTGTTTTCAGGGATTTATCTTATTCCTATTCTCTTTTTTTCTTATAATAACTTTTTATCAGATTTCACTTCTATCATTTTCCTTCAATTATTTTTATGTGAAGTTACTTAGCCTTTCTAAATACACAGAGATCCTTCTTCATTTTTTGTGTAATGGTTGAAAATAGGTCACCTTGGTGTATAAGATCTCATTCCTTTCTCCTTCCCCACTTTATCTGGAGTTTCTCTTTTTTTCTATTGCCTTTGTTCTCTTCAGTTTGGGTCCTGTTTCCAGTAGTTTCTCCTCAGTGTGACTTTGTTCTGGAAGAGAGCTCTGACTGATTTGTTTTGAGATTTTAGGAACTGTAGCGTTCTGTACCCTTAAGAGTTTATCATGAACCTTTTCATTCACGTGCTATTATAGTGAGCAAAACCCATTTCTTTCTATACACCTTTCTCAGTTTTGTCTGCTGTGCTATTTAGTGAGTTTCTGTTGATAATTTTGGAATTCTTTTATTCTGTGGACTAGCACATGCCCTGTTACTATCCTCTACTTCTTCCCACGCAGATGATAATACCCACATCGACCTTGTAGCTGTTGTGGGTCATCTCCATCTTCTTGTATTTTGGGTTTTGTGGATGAAGTTTTTATTTTGCTATCTAATTGCTCTGATTTTATGAGAGCATTTGCAGAGATTTAAATTTTAAGCTACTATTACGGCCTTTGAGAATTTCCATAAAGTTTTTCATACTTAAAAGTTGTGACTTTTAAGCCATAGACCATGATGGCTTCTGATCTCAAGGTTAACATTGTGATTGCATTAAATAAGAACTAAGCTATAGTTAAGCTGACTATGTACTATATGTTATACTTATCCTGTTAATAAGTAATAGATTGCTGTCTAATTAAGAGCCTTTCTGTACCAGCTACAACTACATTATTATAAAAACTGAATTTCTTATGTCTTTGGTGACCTCTTGAATGCATTAGGGGAACAAATATGGTAGAAATAAATTCATTTATATATATATAAGTATAATAATAAATATATGTTTGAAAATTTGCCAATGATAGGATTTAAATATCTATAATTATCTATAGATATAGATATATGTATTGCACGGAGTTGTGCAACCATTACAATAATCACTTTTAGAACTTTTAGAACACCTCAAAATGAAACCTACGCTCATTAACCATCACTCATTTCTCCCATTTCATCCTTCCCTTCCCACTAGCCCTCAGCAGTGACTAACCTAATTTCTATCTCTGTAGATTTGCCTATTCTATGGGCCTTTTGTGACCAGCTTTTTGCACTTAGTATGTTTTCAAGGTTCGCCCTTACTGTAGTATGGATCAGTATTTCATTTTTCATTGTTGAATAATATTCCATTGTACAAACATATCACATTTTATTGATGAATTAATCAGATGATGGATTGTTTCCACTATTTTTCTATTATCAGCAATGCTGTGATGAACATTTGTGCACCAGTTTTTGTGTAGTTTTCATTTCTCTTGGGTATATACCCATGGATAGGATTGTGAGGTCAAATAGTAACTATATGTTTAATCTTTTAAGGAACTACCAGATGATTTTTCAGAGAGGCCACAACATTTTACATTCCTATCAACAATGTATGAGTGTTCCAGTTTCTCCACATCTTTGCCAATATTTGTTATTGTCCATATTTTTGATTATAGTCATCCTAGTGGATGCGAAGTGGTAGTTCATTGTAGTTTTAATTTTCATTTGCCTAATAGCTATTTGATATTAAGCAACTTTGTGTGTTTATTGGCCATCTTTATATCAATTTGGAGACTGTCTATTCAGGTCCTTAGCACATTTTAAAATTGTGTTTTTTGGTTTTATTATTGAATTGTAAGAGTTCTTTATATATTTTGGATATTTGTCTCTTTCATGACATATATGATCTTGTAAATATCTTGAAAATATCTTCTCTCATTCTGTGGATTGTCTTTTTACTTTATTGATAATATTCTTTGAAGGGCAGACATTTTTAGTTTTGATAAAGTCCAGTTTCTCTGTTTTACTTTTGTCATTTATACTTTTGCTATCATATCTAAGAATGTCTTGCCTAAATCAAGGTCACAAAGATTTACTCCTATGTTTTCTTCAAAGAGTTTTATAGTTTTTGTTCTTACTTTTAGGCATGTGGTCTATTTTGAACTAATTTTTCTGTATGGTGTGAAGAAAGGATCCAAAGTCATTCTTTCGCATGTGGATATCCAATTGTCCCAGTACCATTTGTTGATGCACAAGTTCTGATATGTAGGAGTTCATTCTTACTCAACTGTTTTCTTATTTCTATTCTGATTATTTCTTTGATACAAGAGTTGTCTAATTTTTTTCTTTCTAATCCTTTGTAATCTTTCTAGTTACATTTTTGTAATCACTTAAATGCATTCGGCTCATAGATTGGTATATATGATACTTATTTGAGATTTGAAGAGGATAACATTATGGCGTAGGTATAATGTAGTCAATTTGCATTCTTCGTGTGCCTATGAAGAATGACATTCACCATTTGTGGGATATAATGTTATATCTATTAGACCAAGCTTGATAAATTAGATGTTTGTGTCATTTGTATCTTTAGTGATTTTTAAAAATCTACCTGGTGTTAGTTATTGATTGAAATGTGTTAAAATTGTCTATCATTGTGGTTGGTTTCTCCATTTTTTTCCTTTTAGTTCTGTTCGGTTTTTTTATGTAGTTTTAACTTATTATGGGAAGTTTCAAGCATCCACAGAAGAAAAGAGAATAGTATAATCAACCTCTATCACCCTTCTATCTTTAACCATTATGAAAATATATGGCCAATCTTATTTCATATATTCTCTCTACCTCCTTTTTTATGCCCTGTCAGTATTTAAAGCAAATTCTAGACATACCGATTATTGTTTTATAGACCCAATGTTTAGTTTTACTCATACATTTATCACAATATTTGCTGACCATTAACTTTTACAGCCTGTCTGGAAGCATTTTCCTTCTGCCCAAAAAATACAGATTACGATATCCTCTAGAAATCTTAGTAGTAAAATTTCTGTTTTTGTTTGTTTGAAAATCTTTCTAATCTTGTGCATTTTCTAGAAAATTAGTGCCGAACTCAAGTTGGCAGTTATTTTACCCTGAGCATTTTGAAGGTATTACTCCAGTGTCTTTTACCTGCCATAATTGCTATCGAGAAGTAAATAGGAAGTCTAATTTTTGGTTAGTTGTAGATATTTCATTGGCTATTTTAAAAACTACCTTTTTTTTCCTTTGGTATTCTCTGGTTTAACCATATAATATGACAAATAAAAGTAGGTCATAATTGAAAGGTAGTAATTTTGAGTTATTAGCTGTAAATTTTTTAATATTATATTTCTAAATGGTGATTAGTGGTCTATAAACAGTTAAGTGCATCAGGGAATACTTACTATTTTTAATAACCTTATGGTGAATATTTTAGAGTACATGATTCTTAGTTTGTCAACTTTATAACTTTCTTAAGATCTTGTGTATGTAATCAGGCATAGTATGCTTTCTGTATCTTTCTACAGCACTATTGGAAATAATTATGAAAAATGGAAGCACAGCTGGAAATAGCCCTCATTGCAGAAAACCATCAGGTAGTGGTGATCAAAGCAAGCCTAATTGCACAAAAGACGGCACATCTGGTGGTGGTGAAAGTGGAAAAGGCTACACCAAAGACCAAGTAGATGGAGTTCTCAGGTAGGAATAAATTATTTATATCTCAACTACAGTTTATACTAAAGTAATTTTTAAATGTTGTAACACATAAAAAGTGTTTGAATAATAAGTCAGTAAAATAATAGACATCAAAGAATTGAACTCTGAGTGTCTTATGCTTTATATTCTTTATAAAATCAGTCAGTACAATTCCAACTTCATGGAAGTTTCCATCTTTTAAAGTAACTAAAAACCATAAAATTCCAGATCATTATTTTTAAGGAAAATTATTTCAATTTTTTGATACAGAACAGAGTTTAGATAATAATATTGAAAGAGGATAAAGAATTGGTTTGTCTTATGTATATATGAAAGCAGGAAAATTTCATATAAGAGATAAATTGAGGACAATACCTACAGCATCTTCAGTATCCCACTTATGTTAATGGTAGTTTTGTTTCTGTTCTTTCCTAAAGCTATCTTTATACATAGGCAAACTCCATAATATCCTCTCCTTTTAGTTTATTCACTCTGTTAAATATTGTCTCAGTATTTTATTTTTACCTTGTGATACACTTCTACTTAAAGTAGAAGAATTAGGTAGAGTTGAAAAATTATGAACTGGGTTTTAGGGATTTGACTTTACTAGATAACCTTATAATTAAGAAAAAAAATTCTAGACATGAACCTTTGAGTATGAAACTAGAGAAAATAGTGTTTTATTTCTCACTACAGCTTAAGGAAGCTGTACTGATGTTGTACGAATATTGCTCTAGGGAAACTAAAGTATAAAGATAAAGGACTCTGAACAGTGATTAATTGGATAATTCACATGGAGAGTGAATTATAATATAGTGAATTAGCTTAAGTGAAGAGCAGGTAAAACTAGATTGTCTTTTTCTGTTGCCTTTTCTTATCCATTTATTTTTCTCTTCATTTCTTTTCTCACCCATTTTTCTCCATTCTTGCTTTTTAGTTCACTCTTTTTACTCACCAAAATTTGAAATTAAAATCATTTTTGATCAAATAGCAATGTATTTATATTTTGCTTTTTTCTTTATATATTTAGATACTATAGCTTGTAAAAGACTCCCTTAATCTTGGTAAAGCCTTGGTCAAGGGTATTTGATTAGCACAAATGGTAGTGAAGCACTTTGAGAATATAATGTTGTTAACCACTTTTATAACTATACTACTGTGTCAGAGGTGGCTGAATATGTGAGATAAGTCAGTAAATGAGATTTGCTTTTGAATTTCTTTAAGAAAAAGCTTTAATTAAATAGTGTGCTGAAATGAATTCCAGGAAACCACATCTATCAGGAAACAAATTTTATTTTCTTGTAGAAATTACCTTTTATTGGGAGAACATGTTTACAATGAAAGACCTAAAGTTAATTGTATGTATGTGATTTTTATTTAGAATCATTTTGTGATTTTTTTTTGAAAGACTATAGAATCACCTATATATTTGAAAATACGATTTGACAATGTAATTGAAAATTTTGGAGGATAGGAATATCCTAAACCTTATGTTATTTTTTTAAATATATATTTTGTTAATTTACTATAGCCTTGGAAGTAAAAGAGAAATAGTTCAAGGTGTGGTAGAAATAAGGAAGGGAAAACAGCACTTTGTTTTTCTATCTTTTCGTTTTAGTATTTAGGCAGAGGGACATATTAAGAATGGAAGAATGAAAGATGATGGTGGGTGCAATACATTTTGTATATGACCAGAGTTGGCCAGCTGGAAACGTAAAACATTGAGGGAGTTTCTGTCTGTTGTTGGCTTCTATATTCTCTGTGAAATTAGGGATAAGGTTATCCTCTGAGAGTTATAAGAAAAAAAATTAAGTAGAAAGCTTGAGGAGAGTGGTAAACATATGAAATATTTGCAGAGGGGAAAGGCAAGGGAATGGAAGGATTGCTCGTTAGCACTGGAGACCCAACCAAGTTTGAGACCATAAATTCTTATCGGGTAAAAGTTTAGTAGTATATCTATATCAGAGGTTGTTTCTCTTGTCAGTAATTTTATTATGTCTTTTTATTAAATGTAGTTTTTTTCTTTTAGGGACTAAATGTGATTGGAACATTCTTTAATAAAATCCCTAAGTTACTCAGAATACTTCAGTCAGTGCCTTATATAGAGCTGTTTAGCTCAATCATGTAACACTCATTTTATTAGCTTTCATAAGTGTTGCTTTAGTGAGGTAACAGATCACCAGCAAACACTTACATGCTATTATGTTTTTGTTTTTTGTTTTACCTATACACAGGGGATTTTTCTGAAGAGAGCCATGTTATCTTGTTGGTTAGCACGATTATGCAAACAAGTTGCTCAGTGACAATTTGGCTCAATGGGAGAAGCCATGCAATAATACTGCATCCATTGCATAAGTAAGAGCTAGTTTACAATAAGACGGAAGAAAAAGTGTGTAACTGTAAAAATAGCATTCTCTGAAATAAGCACTGTTTGTTGGCTTTGAGTTGAAATATATTGAAAAATTATTGAGAAAAAGGTATCATGGATCTAATTTGAAAAAGTTTTTAATATCTCATTGAAAAGAAGCCTCTTTTTTTTTTTTAAGTTTACAAGACCAATGGAAAATCATTAACTGGGCCATATTTATCCATTCGGAACATTACTGTACAGCTATTAAGTCATTTAAATTGTGGGGATTTTATTAGGATTTGATCTAAATTGTAGTTCTTTAAATGAAAAGAAAATAAATTTTTTTGCTAAACTTATAAAATAAGTAATCTTTTGCCTCAAGAATAAACAAATATTTCCTTAAATGACAAACTTGGAATCTATTTAAATAATCAGCTATAACACATGAAAAAAAGAATTGAAAGAGAACCCTTCTCCCCTGCCCACTATGCTTTCATGCACATAAAGGAAGACACAAAGACTGAAGCAAACATCCTTCTCCATTGTTGAGCTCCCAGACAGATCTTTCTGGCCTTGTTGTATAATATTTCCTTTCTGGGTAGATAATGGGTTACCTCTTTTTAATTTATTTTCTTTTTCCTTTCTTTTTTTAATTCTTTGGTGAGGGTGGTGAAGGTTTGAATCTTTCAGTAAGGAGCAAATTATAAAAAGTATGACAAATATATTTTAGTTGGTATAAAGGAGCATAATGAACAAAAATATAAACTGAAATAAATATATGAATGATTATTTCTCATTCAGACATGAAAAATTAGATGAATGAGTATATTTGGAGCATTACTTGAAATGTGCAGTATTCAACTTGTCCTCTGGTGCTGTTGACTTTATACCTTCATGCTGGTTTTTCAAACAGTTTCTCCTCTACTATATGATGAAAAATTTAGTGCAGGGAGGATATGGCAGAGCTAGATACAGCTAAGAATTAGTGAAATAATTGTTTTTCTACCTTTTTTCTCATTGTGGCAATTCTTAGCTTTATGATATCTATCTCTAGAGGATTGTGAATTCCAGCCTAATATCTCTACGTTCTCCAGCAGCTGTTTTCTGCCTTTTTCTATTGCCTAGCTTTTTGTGCTCAAGAAATATCAACAAAATGAACTTAGAGGATTAATGTGGTATATAATTAAACATCTTATGCATTCAAACCAAATAGTAATGACTTTAGGATTGTTCAGTATTTCATTTATTACTACCTTTTGTTTTCTGCATTCAGGTAGTGTCAATTCTTAGCTCTCTTTCTCGTTTCATAGTCAATTCTCTTCTATTCCCAGTTGATTTTTGGTGCCAACTATGTTTTCATTATAGCTCTTATCACCTTTAGTCCAAAAATGACTTTTAGATCTTTCCCATTTCATCCCTCAAATTGAATCAGTCATCAGTCTGTCTATCCATCCATCCATTCACCACAAATGGTGAACAAGACACATTCCCTGCCTTCAAGGGGCTTATTGTCTAGAAAGAGCGATCAGACAAATAAACAGACAGTTGCAGTACAGCTTTGAGAAGATACAAGGTCACCAAACCTAGTCTTGAAGAATTTGAGTTCTTGAGAAGAGAAAAATCTAAGTTGAGGTCTGGAGAAGTTGTGGAAACTATAAGCAAGAAGGGAGGCAGAAAAGGCATGTTCTGGGTACCAGAAGCAACATTTGAAAATATCTATGAGAAAAGAGAATCTATTTAAGCACTCATTGGAAAAGCAAATAGGAAGAGGATTGTTCTGGAGTCTTAAGAGGGTCCTTTTCTTCTTTATTCTGGTTCTGTACAAGATTTTCAAGTCAGACAAACTGAGGTGCGAATCCTTCCTTGTGATGTCTTTCCTCATCACCCTTGCAGGCCTCCTCTTCCCTTTTCTGTTTTCCTTTGGCACTTTATTTTTCTCTATGTATTTATCACCGTGTGATATACTTTATGTTTTATTTGTATATTTGTTCATTGTTCCTCTCCACTTGTAAATTTAATATGAGCAGGGATATTTTTTGACTTTTTATTTACTATTATAACATCTGAAACAGTTTCTAGCAAAAAGTAGATGTTCAGTAAATTTTTGTTGAAATAAATCCTAGTTCCCATCTACTATTTGGTTATATGACTTTCAGCAATTGACATAACCACTCAAAGCCTTGATTTTCTCATTGACTAAATAGGAATAATACCTACTTAATGAGTAAATGAGATAATTTGTGTACAATAATCAGCATAATAAGATTCTGTAATTCTCTATGTGAAAACTTTGTGGACCAGATGTAGTTTAGAATTCAGAATTCATATCTTAGGTAACAAGGAGCATATATTATATATTACATAAGGTCTCATAGGGTCTGTTAGCAGCCCAGAACCTAATGTTAACATTTCTACAACAAAATGTACAAATGTTCACACTTAAGTGGGATAAATGAAGGTGATAAAATTTCAGGTCAAATTTTGCCTCTAAAAGAGCGGAAATCAGGTTTTTGCAGTCACATTAGTTATAGAGTAACTTAATGTTTTTCAGAGCTTAATGGTTATTGGAATATGGATTTGAGATTGTGGACCTGTGCCTGACACATAGTAGGTGTTCTATAAAGTCCCTTTTCCCTTTTTTTTTTTTTTTTTTCCTTTTGCATAGTTTCTCAACATATTTAGGGGAGTGGGTCGCTACAAAGGCAGGGATCGTCGTTTTGTTCACTGATATATTTCAAGTGCCCAAACACTATATGAGACATGGTTGTTGCTCAGTAAATATTACTGACTAAATAAAGAAAATGTCATGTTTATGAAATAAAATTGACTTGTGTTAATATTTATTATCTAAAGTAGAACAATCCAATTTTAATTATTATTACTATAAAGAGGACTGCATAACAAATTTTTATTGATGTGATCCTAAGATTTCTATAATTTTATACAATGTCTTCTTTTTTTTTCTATTTCCTATACCAAATAATGAATGTTTTCATTGTAAAAGGAGAGCTGAGACTCATTTATTCCAGAAATATTTACTGAGAACTTATCATGTACCAAGTGCTGTGGTGATTAATAGGATAAATAGTAAAATAAAAAAGATCAATATTGTCTCTTTTCTTTGAAAACTTTGAGTCAGTATTTGCAGTTTTGTAGCTGTCAGTGAACAGTTAAGCCTCAGATCCTTTTACCTGTTACCACCTGGATCATGAAGCCGCTTGCACATGGAATGTCTAAGCTCATAAAATACGCCACAAAAAAATGTGTAAGATGTACCTGGATTTTAGTGAAGAAAAATTGTTAGGTTGTGGGAGAATATTAGCAACCAAAAGTATTAATGTTCTTTGTTCTAGAGTATTTCTTTTCCTAATACGTTTTAAAGATTTCAGGCTTAAATCGGTTACATATTTAAGATTATAAACTATTTAAGTACAATAGGTGCTCGAATAATGATGTTTCATTCAACGTTGTTTTGTTAATAACATTGATGAGATGCTGTAGGAACTTCAACTTTGTTTTTATTAATTAACCTGTGGTAAAATTGGTTTTATTATATGTCATTTTGCTTAAAGTCACAGAACCTGTCAACAACATTGATATGAAAATAGGGTGTAACCAACATTTTTGATTCCCCTGATATATTTTATTATGATATTTTATCTTTCTCAGAGAGTGACACAGATAAATTCTCTTTAGCATAGCCAAGCTGCCTTAACTTGCCTTGACATTTAATCCATAGTGTGCTATAATTGTTTTACATGCACTGAACCGTTGCCTTGATATTTGGTTAGGTCTGCATTACGTGACAACTGAAGTGCAATGCATACTAATCCTTAGCTGTGACATACTTGGGAAGAGTATGGGAATTTCTTTATGCTCTTAAAAGTACTATAAAATTGTTCTTTTCTTCTCAGTTTAGTTACAATGTATGCTCTGTCCTTCATCTACAGTTGTTATGAGTTTTGCTTTACTTCTTCTCTAGTTGTGATTAATTGTACCAAAGACATTCTCGTAGCCAACTCTCCTTAAACTGAGAAGAAGTTGAAAAACAGAATGGGGCAGTAACCCTTAACCGGATAAGCTATCATTTGATACTGAAATAACAATCCATAGGCAGTTCTTTATACTATTCTAATAAATAAAAAATCAGAGGTAGTATATGAGCTTCTTCCTTGAAATTTACCTTATAACATACTTTCTTGTTCACAGCATAAACAAATGTAAAAATTACTATGAAGTACTTGGAGTTACCAAAGATGCTGGTGATGAAGATTTGAAAAAAGCTTATAGAAAGCTTGCTTTGAAGTTTCATCCAGACAAAAACCATGCACCTGGAGCAACAGATGCTTTTAAAAGTAAAGTAAACCTTTTAAAGCAGTTTTACTTAGCACTTTTTAGAATCTACTTACAGTGTTTCAGAATGTCGAACTCTGCCTTTAGAAGCCAGCATAAACGAGGGTCCTCAAAATCTTAACTTTAAACCTCACCATTAACTTGTTGTACCAAGAGCCAAACAAATGCAGTTTGGCTTCACAAACGCAACATGCCAGTTTTGGCAAAGTCCTAAGTAACTTATGGATACCCATGCATGCTTTCTACTTTACCACACACAAGGAGTGTGATGACTATGCATGAGCTTCTAGTATATTACCATCTGGTTTTACAGGAACTAAAAGCAAAATATAGTTTTTGTGAAATTAATTGGAATTGCTATCTTCTCTGTTCTTATATTTCTTTTAACTCTAGCCAATTTTTGTATTTTTTATATGTAGTTCTAACTAATGTGACTTTTTTCTTTTTAATAATTATTTTCATTTCTCTTACCTACTACTCATGTCTTCATTGTTTTCCTCGATATCATTTCCATTTTTGCCAATTTAGTAAATATCCAAGAACTTATTTTGTAATTCATATTTTGTTACATACAATTTATTCATAAAGATTAACTTCTAATTCATAGGAAAAGGCTTAAATTTGTGATTTTTTTGTTCTTGTGAATTTGTCATTCATAGGGCCAAAGTATAATGTTTACAGTGGACTGCTGGGGTCTTGGAATAACTGATAGGAGATACTTAGTTTTCAAATGTTCCTTATAGATTGATGACTCAATTGGTCTTTCATATAAAACTTTCCAAATAGTTTTATTTCTTGGAGGAAGTTGCCAAGCAAAATACATTGGCGATTGTTAATATAATCCAATAAAAGCAGCTGCCACAGTGGTACTGGTGAAAGTAAAATATAACCGTGACAGAGCCTTCTCTGTTTCCTAAATTAAAAGTGGCATGTTGATAGTACAGGAAGTTTCTTTACTCAAAAGCACTTACTTTAGCATATACTCCCTTAAAAGTTAAAGCAAATTTTTTACATTATGAATTTAAATCACTTAATTTAAAATTTTTGTTGATTTTAAAACATTGGAAAAGATTTTGGCAGTGAGTTATTTGCAGGTTCGTGATCTGCTAGGGTGATATCAGTATTCATTCTTTATTAATATTAAGAATGTTAATTTATTTCTTTCTCCCAATTTTGCATTGAAGTCATGTTAGCATTATTGGTTTTTGAGTTTCAGTAAGTGAATCAACCAATGTTTTCACAGCCTGTGTTGCGTTTTGAAGAGGTGAGCAGCATAAATATCACCCCAGCTAGACACTCAGAAGGGGTTTTACATAGTGATTGTACTTTGGTTTCGTATATTTCAGATTTTAATGCCTGGCTTTACAAAACTAGAAACTTAATATCAGCATGCTGGGAATTAATTCATCTCTAGAGGAGAGGCTCACATTATTCAATACACAGAGGGTTATCTGGAAATCAGAATGCCAATTTATTAATCCCAAAGAGGATCAGAATGGGGAGTTGGTTGATGAACCCATTTTTCATTGAGTTGAAACTCTATAGATAACTCAGGTTGTAATCCACACTTGGTGAACAAAGATAGTTAACAAGAAAATATTACATCTAGTGTCATCATACAGAAATGTCAGGTTTCATTCATTCAGCACACAGGATCTTTTCATTACCTTCTGGGCCATCTTATTTAATTTTAACCAATCAACCTTAACTTCTGTTTTTGGTGTACCGTGCAAAGACTATAGTTTTTTCTTAAAGGTAAATACAGATTGATTGCTCTGTAATTACCAAAACATAGAATTTTACAAAACATAGAAAAGACGTGCTTTGTATTTCCTCATAGAAAAAGAAGGAGTAATTAGTTTAGGGAATTAAATTAGAAGAGATATTTTTTAAATATGTAATTGAGATGGATCCCTTTCCTTCTCTCTGACATGAATATTTTCAGAACAGTCTACATTATCTTCAAAGACTTGCAATATTTGAGAGACTATTTGAATAGTATCTGTGTTTGTTGACATATACATGAATGTAATAACAAGGGACATAGATTAGCTGTATATATGTTTGCTTGATAAATAATAATAGGTCAGATGCTATTGCTTGTGTTAACTCTGGTAGTTCAGTATTCTACCCTTTCAGCTAATTCTCGTAGAGAAATTCAATAAGAGAATATGAGATATCCTTTTACTCAAAGAATTTGTAATTCACAAAGGGAAGAGAAGTCTCATACAGAACATTTGGAGTAATAGTAATACCTAACATATGATAAGCATTTTATAGTTTTTCATCCTTATTTTTTATTTAATGCTTATTAAAAATCTTGCAAAATAGTCAGGGGACCAGTGTCATTTTTCTTTCACAAATAAGAAAATTGAGGCTCAGAGAAATTAACTAATTTACCCAGGATCTTCCAGAATACTGAATATAATTAAATGCCAAAACATAGAATAAAGATGTCCAAAGGAAAGTTAGAAATATAAAGTAGCATTATAATCAGAGTAATTGGAGAAGCCTTCATATAATAAGTGAGAATTGAGACTTTTCTCAAGATGATTATGATTCCTATGGTTAGGGATATGATTCCTATGGTTAGGGAAGAGAGAAGATGGCATAAACTTGGCTGTGAGAATGAGGCAAGCAATATAATAATTAGAACTTCCGTTTTCAAGAAGATGGAGGAGATGTACTTTTTCATTCTTTACATCAAGTACAACTGAGTATTATTTATAAAACAAAACAAATATAAGAAAACTCTGAAAGGTTGAGAGAAGATTGACTGGCTTAGGGACCTTGGGACCCAAAGAACAATATGATCACATTTCAGTCAGAAATACTAAGAACCAGAAAAACCTCAAAATGATTTTAAAGTCAGTCAATAGATACCTACATGGAGATGACAGAGAAGTTAGGATTGCCTAACAAAGATTTTAAAGCATTCATCATAAAAATATTTCAATAAGCAATTGCTTCTCTCGCAGCAGTTGATTGAACAACTAGACAGAAAATAAGAATACAGAAGAATTAAACACCATCCCATATCCAACAAGATACAATCATCATTTTCAGAACAATCCACTTAATAACCACAGACTATACATTCTTTTAATTCACTCTGCAAATCTGTTTTTCAAGTGCTTACAGAATAATATTCCAAGATAAAGCATATCCTGGGTCGTAAAATAAACCCCCAATAAGTTAAAAGGCTGGAATCATACAGTGTATGTTTTCTCACAATGAAATTAAAGTAGAAATCAGTAACAGATAATTGCAAAATATCCAATCACTTAGAAACTGGACAACACACTTCTAAATAATCTATGGGTCAAGGAAATCTCAAGAGAATTTTTAAAATAGATTAAATTGAATAAAAGTTTACTATCACAATTTGAGGGGACCAGCTAAAGCAATGCCGAGAAGAAACTTTTATAACCCCTAATGCATATATTAGAATAAACAACCTCAAATAAGTCTTCCACCTCATGAACCTACCAAAAAAAAAAAAAAAGAACAAAATAAATCAAAAGCAAGAAGAAAGAAAGGTGAGAGTAGAAATCAATAAAATTGAAAACAGAAAAACAATAGTGAAGATCAATGAAACAAAAGAATTCTTTGAAAAGATCGGTAAAATTGACGGACTGACAAAGGAAAAGAAATGACCATTATCAGAAGTGCTATCATAGAAGTGATGTAAAATTCAAATAATTTAAAATATGGTGGGAATGCATCCTTTGCTACTAGTTAGTTACATTAATGGTAAAAATTGAGGTCAACTCAAAAAATGCATTGAGTATAAAAAATCATAGTTTCAAGAGAAAAGGAATAAAAAGAATTGAAAATTAAAAAAAAAAGGAAAAGGAAAAGAAGAAGTACTATCAGAAACAAAGATACTGACCCTGCAGACCTCAAAAGGATAATGAGAATACTATGAACAGATCCACACATATAAGTTTACAACTTAGATGAAATGGACCAATTCTTTGAAAAATAAAAATGATAAGAACTCACTCAATCTGAAGTAAATAATGAAGCAGCCGTATAACTACTAAGTAAATTAAACTTGTAACTAAGAAACTCCCTAAAAGAAATCTCTGGGTTCAGATGCCATTACTGGAGAATTCTACCAAACTTTTAAGAATTAAAATAAATTGTACACATTCTCTTCCTGAAAATAGAAGAGAAGGAAACATCCTAATTTATTTTACAAAGTGTTACCCTATATTAAAACCAGACACTACCTAAAAAAAATACAGATCAGTGTTCATGGAATAAACCCAATTATCCTTAAAAAATATTAGAATTCAGCAATATGTAAAAAGGATTATACGCCCTGACCACCTGGAGTTTATTCCAGGCATGCCAAGCTGGTTCACTATTCGAATATCAGTCAGTGTGATCCACTGTATTAATAGGCTGAAGAACAATCTCATGATTATATCAATCAGTGCAGTAAAAGCATTTGAAAAATTTACCCCACTCATTCATGATAAAAACTGACCAAAAAATAGGAATTGAGGGAACTGCCTCAAAATGTTAAAAGAGCAACTACAAAAACTTACAGATAACATTATAGTTAGTGATGAAAGACTGAATGGTTTCCCAAGATGGGAAACAAAGCAAGAGTGTCCCCTTTCACCACTCTTATTCAACATAGCATTGGAAATTCTAGTCAATGCATTAGAGTGAGAGAAGGAAAAAAGGCTCACCAATTGGAAAGGAAAAGATCAAACTGTCCCTCTTTGCAAATGGCATAATTATATATAAAATCGCAAGGAATATAACTGCCCCCCCCCCAAAAAAAAACAATTCCAGAACTAATAAGTGAATTCTGCAGTTTTGGGATACAAGATAAATATACAAAAGTCAATTTCTGTATTTAAAAGTAGTATATTTCTGTATACTAGCAGTGAACATGTAGACACTGAAATTAAAAATATATTATCATTTATAATCATACGTAAAATATTTGGATGTAAATTTAACAAAACTTATACAGAATATGTATTCTTTATACAAGAATAAGTATACAGTACTAATGAAAGAAATCAAAGAAGATCTAAATAAATGGAGTGATATAATAATTAGAATGGTAGATCATGGTCATAGATTAGAAGACTCAACATAGTAAAGATGCCAAGTCTCTCTAAATTAATTATATATGTCTCAAAACTTTTTTTGTAAATAAAAGCAAGTTTATTCTAAAACCCACATAGAAAGACAACCTGAGTAAATAAAAATGATTTATTGAAAGAATGGAGTAGTAGCAATCAGTGTACCTGATTTTAGGACTGACTTTGCAGTTGCAGGTATTCACACTGTGGTATTATTAGAGGGATAGACACATAGATCACAGGATAGGGAACCCAGATATAAACTCATAAAAATATATCCAACTGTTTTTTTTTTTTTTTTAAGTTTCAGTTGACATTCAGTATTATTTTATATTAGTTTCAGGTGTACAGCACAGTGGTTAGACATTTATATAATTTACAAATAAGTCTGGTATCCATCTGGTGCACCATACATAGTTAATACAATATTATTAATGACTATATTCCCTATTCAGTTACCAGTTATCAAGACTTCACATCCCTGTGACTATTTAATAACTATCAAATTATACTTCTCAATTTCTTCACCTTTGACAGAGATGGAAAAGCAATATAAAGGAGGAAAGCTAGCCTTTTCAGCAGATGGTTTTGGAGCAATTGGATGTTTATAGGCACAAAAAAAAAAATCTTGACCTAAATCTTACACTTTATACAAGAATAAACTCAAAATGAATCATGAGTGTAAATGTAGAGCAACACTTTTGAACTGTTTGCAAAAAATCATGGGAGCAAATCTTTAGGATCTTGGGCTAGGCAATGATTTCTTAGACTTAACACAAAAAGCACAGTCTAGAAAAGGAAAAATTGATAAGCTGGACTTAATCTAAACTTGTTCAAAGATTGCTCTGCAAAGACCCTATGAAGAGGATGAAAAAACAGGCAACAGGCTGGGAGAAAACATTTGCCAAGCAAATATCTGACAAGAGACTAGTATCTAGAATATATAAAGAATGCCCCAAAATCAAAATTTAAAAAAAAAGACAATCCAGTTAGAAAATTAGTAAGACTTTTCACTAAAGATGATATACTAATGGCAAATAAGCATATGAAAATATTCTTAACATCCATTCATTAACTATTAGAGATAATGCAAAATAAAACCAAAATGAGGTTATCACTACACACCTATCAGAATGGCTAATATAAAAAACAGCAACAATACCAACTACTGGTTTGGATGCAGAAAAACTGAATCATTCAACATTGGTAATGGGATATAAAATGACACAGTCACTCGGGAAAACAGTTTGGCGGTTTCTCAAAAAATTATTCAGTTACCATACAACCTAACACTTGCATTCCTGGGCAGTTATTGCATAGAAATGAAAATTTATGTTTATATATAAATGTATACGTGAGTGTATATAGCAGTTTTATCCATGATAGCCCCAAAGTAGAAACAACTCTAATAACATTTAGTGGGAGAATAGTGAAACAAACAGTGGTATGTCCATACTGTGGAATATTACTCAACAATAAAAAGGAATGTACATAACAGTCTGGATCAGTCTTCAAAGAATTATGCTGATTGAAAAAAGCCAATCCTCAAAGATTCTATTCCATTTATATACTGTATTATTTCATTTATATAACACTTTTGAAATGCCCAAATTATAGAAATAGGGAATAAATAGTGGTTGTCAGGGTTTATAGAGGGAATGAAGAGAAAGGAAGTCAGTCTGGTTATAAAAGGGCCACATGAAGATGGTGATAGAAATGTTCTATATCCTGATTGTATCAATGTCAGCATCCTATCTGTGATACTGTACTGTAATTTTGTAAGGTATTACACTGGGGGAAATCAGATAACAGGTACAGGGGATCTCTTTATTATTTCTTACAATTTCATTGTGAATCTAAAATTCCCTCAAAATGAAAAGTTTAAAGAAAAATGAATAAAGTGGAAGGTATCTTTTGGTGAAACAAGTGAGATTGAGGTGAAAAATGTATTTTGTAAGTCTTTTGAACATTGAAATGGATTTTGGATTTAATTTTTTAGAAAATAAGGAACTGAAAAATAAATCTTGATTGTGTGTATAGAAAATTACTCTAGCCACAGTGGATAGAATAAATTATCTTAATAGTCAACTGTGGATTATGACAGTATTTCACAAATACAAAATATCTTAATGTTTGGAAACTATTTTTTTAAAAGCAAAGACTTGCAAATAGAATTAGGTTACCAATATATCAATAGTTTAAAAAGTAATATCATTATGAAATTACCTGAAATGATAGTCCATTTAGTGTATAGAGGTCAAATCCTTAAATTGATATTATTACTGGAAGTACAACTTTGGCAGATATTGATAGATATGCTTCTTTTTTAGGTATAGGTTAATACCTTGGTGTAGTTTCTAAGTACATTGATTGGATCTCTGATTATGCTCTCCCATTGGAGCAACATTATAAACGATGGCTGTATTTCTGGGTCATAGATCTATTTGAGAATCTGTAGAAAGTTTGGACCATCTCAGATAAATGGACCATCCACATAACTTTTCATACAATAGGGTTCACAAACCATCTGAGACTTATCTCTGAATCCCAAGTTTAAGAAGTCCTATCAGAAGAAAAATTCCAGAATATCTATATATAATTAATTTTAGTGATATGTAATCAGCCAAAAACAACTACCTAATGAGCATCTATTTGCTTACGCAGTACCTATGGCAGCCACCACATGGGATCCAAAGAGTATTTTTTAAATATCCCATATTGCAAGAAGCTTATGATCTAGTTTAAGATACAAGCTGTATTTATGAAATGATTTTTAGAAATGTCACCATGAGACTAGGGTAGTTCCTGCTTTTAGATGAAATCATTACAGCTTTTGTAAATTATCTCAAGAAGACATTTTGATAACCAATGTACTATTGCCTTTTATGTATATATATATAATTTTTTCCAGTTACAGTTGACATACAATATTATATTAGTTTCAGATGTACAACATAAAAATTACACATTTATGTATAACTTACAGGTAAAATGATCATCTGATACCATTACCTCTTTTGGACATGGAAGTATGAGATGGGAAATAGAATTCTTTATGAATAAATATCATGAAAGTAGCAAAGTGAGATGGGAAAACTGGACACTATCTAGATTCATTCAAAAACAAATTCAGACTTTATGCTGAACCATGGGGATAATGCAATGAAAACAGAAACAGTCCTTAAACCTTTATAGAGCTTACTTTTAAGAAGAATAAATTTTTCAGGAATAGAATGTAGAATAGCTAACTCTGGCCTGGAGTGTACAAAAAATGGTTTATGGTGTAGGCTGCATAGAGTATACTTACTGTACTAAAAAAAAAAAATTTGACCTTGAACAAGTTTTCTAATGTTTTGAGCTTGAGGGGGCTCATCTGTACAGTGGAAATAGTAATGGATAATATAATAAGATGCTGTATTCAGAGCCTGGCAATTGGTAGCTACTGCTATTATTATTGGTTTGAATGATACTAATGAACGATTAGATTTAGCTAGTCGAAAATGAAGAAAAATGATATTAGTGGATGGAGTTCAAAAGTAAGAAACTTAAGATGGACATTCCTTTATGTTTAAGGCAGTAGGGAGACTTATTTGTCTAGTATAAAAAATTATGTTGGGAGGTAATAATATGTGTAATTGCAAGCAAGTATAATACCTTTAAAGGAAATTATTACTGTTTTACTATAACATGACAGCAGTTTTTATAGGGAGCAGTCTTTTATAATATAAAAACTTGCCAATTTTTACTCATTACTTTTTCAGAGATTGGAAACGCTTATGCTGTTTTAAGCAATCCAGAAAAACGAAAACAGTATGACCTCACAGGCAATGAAGAACAAGCATGTAATCACCAAAACAATGGTAGATTTAATTTCCATAGAGGTTGTGAAGCTGATATAACTCCAGAAGACTTGTTTAATATATTCTTTGGTGGTGGATTTCCTTCAGGTATTTTAATGGGAATTATAAATATTTTATGAAGCTAGAGATCCTTACCTCCAGCTGGCTATTTAGAGATTTACCTACCTTCTTCCCTACATTTATTATAGTTTTATAATCCTGTGATGGCTCTTCATGAAGGTAGAAGAAACATATTAGAGTTATTGCTTTTACTAAGTCTGCCTTTTTCCAAGAACACATTTTAATTAAAAAAATGAAAAGAAATGAAGAGTACAGATATTCTACATTTTGTATAAAGCTGAAGGAAAGATGTATAAGTGGGAAATCCAGCGGCAGCATCTTAGCTAAGTGCTGTTACAGCTGTGGACCACTGTATGGCATTGATTCTCTGCAGATCTTTATGGGTGTTTTACTAATAACATTCTACACTGCCAGTTTGGACGTATGTTGTGGTACTTTCCACCAAAATATTAAAATGTCTGGCTTATAAGTTGTATAAAAAGTGAGTTTTAAAAATTACATTGAGATAGAAATAATTACTTGAACTAGGCTATTGAAGTAAAATATTGTAGAGACACCACTAAGCGAATGGATTTTATAGTACCAGCATAAGTAATATTGAATTCTACTTACATTTACTGTTGTTAGGGTGGAAACTAATTTTAAGAGCAGCTCTTCTACGGTGTTTAAAATTATAGCTCGTCTCATTTACAACATTTCTTTAAGTGCTAAGTTAAACATTAGGAGAATGTTTATGAACGTAGCAGTATAATTTGGCCTTGGTGGCTCTGTCTAAGGATTATTGAGAAAGATTGTGGTATCGATAGAGCATTTTGTAAAGAATCCTTGAAGGAAAGAGAATGTGTAAATACAAATTAACGATTAAAACTATAACCTGTATTTTGACATATTAGGATACATAATTACCTCTCACAGAAAAATTATTGAGACTAATAATTCTGACTAGAACTATCAGAAATCTTTCAGGTTACTTTTCCGTAGTTGATTCACAGTTCTTTGCTTTTATAACACAGCTTACTTTGTGGTAGCCATTTCTCATTGGTCACCTTATTTGAAAACAACTTCAATGTCTACCACCAAGAGAATATTTGAATAAGTTGTGGTCCACATATACTGTAGTATATCAATATGGCTGTTTTTTTAAAAAATGAATTAGATCACTGCCCTTTGATTTTTAGAAATATTTGTGATATATTGATAAATGCAGAAAACAGAGTTTCAGAGTAATGATCCAAGGTTTGTAAAAGCAACCAACCACAACAAAAGTCCTCTGTGTGTGCAGTATTAGGGAGGAACTTGTATTCAAGTTTTCATAAAGAAAGAACTTCTACTTTACTTTAAAGGGTGCAATGTCTGGAAAGAATCATTCCTGTTTCCATCCACCCTTTCCTTATAAGACGAGACAGCAAGAAGCATTCACTACTCAAAGATGCATTATTTTAAGTAATTTTTTAAAATTAAAGAAAATCATTTATCTCCCTAATTTAACCTTGCTTTTAATTTCTAGGTAGTGTGCATTCATTTTCAAATGGACGAGCTGGTTATAGCCATCAACATCAACATCGACACAGTGGACACGAAAGAGAAGAAGAAAGAGGAGATGTATGTTTATGATATGATTAGAAATCGTAAAATGGCAAATTTCAGCTTAGGAAAAGCAATTAGAATTGTCTGAAAATGAGGCCAGTTCTTTTAAAAGAAAATAATTTCTCTAACCAGAAGTGTTCAACAGACTAGAATATCCCTTAGATATTGGGGGAACAGGAGTAGAAGTCAAGGTGGAGGGTGATTGGGCAATATAACACCTTCAGATTTGGTATCCTCTGATTATAATGAAGATAACCTGCAGTGTGCATGTGTTTTGCAGATAATTTCTTATTGTTGATCCTTAAGAATTTAGAATTTATACTGAAAAACTTAAATAGGATGATGTAACTTTCCTCGTTCTAATGTAGTTATATCTAATTATACACAGCAATTAAATTACATAAGGTAGAAAAGTAAGTGGAAGGAGCACTAGACTGGAAATCAGAAGGCTTGGGCTCCCACTCTGCCACTCATCAGCTTCTATGTTTCACCTTCAACCCAAAGTAAAAATAGTTTTACAGCCCGATGCATATAGAATCTCTGTGAGAGAAAGAACTTCGCATCTGTAAAATAAGATCAGGTTGTGTCACTGTTTCCAAATCAGGATCACTAGATGAAGCACCTGGAAAGCTGTCTTTTTAAGAATCAACCCAGGAAGTTGGTATGTTCAGGCAAATTTGAAAGCACTGAACCAGATGATCTCAGCTGTTCTTTCTGCCCCTAAGAATGTATGACAGCTGTTGGATTATTTACAACTACAGTTATATTACAGTTTGTTATTCTTTGATGATTTTTTTTATAGGGAGGTTTTTCTGTGTTCATCCAGCTGATGCCCATCATTGTATTGATCCTCGTGTCATTGCTAAGCCAGCTGATGGTCTCTAATCCTCCTTATTCCTTATATCCTAGATCGTAAGTAGCTAAGTGAACTGTTGCAAAAAAGAATTGTTGTTTCTTATCTGAGTTTCTTTAAAGGGCCTTATTCTTTTTTAAACTTTTAAGTGCCAAATCTTTTATAACTACAAGTATTCCAAATTTTAGAATGTCTAATTTTTAAAATAGTTATTCAACTGATAAATTTATGTTGTTTATATCACTTCCATTGTGGATAAAGACAGAAGTGCTGTATTTGAACTCGATAGCAATGTAATGTGATAGGTAATGTGTTGACATTAAAGTCAAAAAACAAAAGACAAAAATAGAACTTTCATTGAACTGATAAAGATTTCTGTTATTAAGGAGAAAGTTATTAAGAGTGACTTCACGTTTCTGTTTATAAAATATTGATTAAATAAAAACAAATATTTCTTTCTGTTATATGAGGTGTTTTCCCCCAATATACTATATATATAAGAGGTCAGGACACAAAAGAAAGTTAATACAGCATCCATTCAAGGAAACTTTAGTGTAATACAATAAACATATAGGAAACTTCGTAAAATCATACTGCCAGTGATTTTACAGTATTAAAGACATGCTGGTCTAAAAATAAGAAATAACTCTTTATTTCTTCCAAATAAGGTTTTTATTAATTAAAAATTAGAGAACTTATAAGAACATATTAGTATGGTATATTAAAATATGACTACTTTTTTATGGATGATAGTGGTTCGCAATTTGAGATAATGTAAAGAAATGATAACCAATAATAACCTATAAATTTTTAATTGTTAGCTTGGTTTATAGTAGATCAGAATGTACAATTTTAATTTTAAAAATAATGATCAAGCATTTCTTTTACAGTGGATCAGGGCAGACTATTAAAATGCAGACAGAAAACTTGGGTGTCGTTTATTATGTCAACAAGGACTTTAAAAATGAATATAAAGGAATATTATTACAAAAGGTAGAAAAGAGTGTGGAAGAAGATTATGTGACTAACATTCGAAATAACTGCTGGAAAGAAAGACAACAGAGTAAGTTTATCTAATGTTTAACATTTAAAAACTTATTCAAAGTCTTGGGAAGTGATTACTGTATATTTCCTCACTCAAGGATTGTTCTAGAATACTTAGCACAAATCAGAGCTCAGAACTTAAATGAGAGGTAAGTTTTAAGGTACATGTGGCCTATAATGGTATTTGGCACATAGCAAGGACTTAAATGGCTTTTGTGTTATTGTTATCAATAAATATTTGATTGAATAAGTGAATAATACCATCATTGAGACAATTGGTGATATTTGAATGTGCACTACATATTAGATATTATTGTTAATTTTCTGAATTTGAAAATTATATAGGAATGCACTTGTTTTTAAGAAAAACTTGCTGAAGTAATTAGGAATGAAAGGTTTTAATGTCTGTAACTTATTCTCAAATGGTTCTACAAAATAATAACCACAACAATAACATCAGCCTTTATTATAGAGAGAGCTAAAACAAATTTGACAAAATGTGAAAAAATTGATCAAAGTAAAATTTTTAGGGTATTCATTGAAATATTCTTAACTTTTGTGTAGATTTGAAATTTTCAAAATAAAATTCAAATTTAGCACATCTATAGGTTGGGTTAGTGGTTTTGAATAAAGATAGAAATCGGAAGGTCTCAGTATAACATTAGTTAATTCATTGAGTGTTTCACTTGTTGATTGGGATGAGATTATCTTGTTTTATAAATATTTTTTAAAAATTATTGGCCAGTGTATATATAGTCTTTTGCTAGGGTTTTTTTTATTTTGGAGTCGCTTTTAATACTCTAATGTCTAGATTGGTAAAACAGTAATTTGAAATGATGGAAAGGATATTAGACTGGGAGTTAGAGACTCTGCCATTCACTAGGCCTGTGAACTTTGGTTTTTCTACCTCATTTGGGAAGAATCAGCCACAAAGGGGTTTTCCAAGTGCCTCATTCGTAAATAAAAGGGGTGGAGTGATTTTGATTTAGTTGTTAAATTCAAGCCTGATTGACTGAATAAAGATCATTCCTGAAGATCTTTTTACAATTAAAATATACTCATACTTTTGAGTATGTTTTGTTTGTGATCCTGACTGATGGACCTACTTTGGTCAGTGTTTTCCAGAAAGTAACCAGTTTTTTTCCCTTTTTTGTTACATCTTCTCTAAGTGCTGCCACCCTTTAGAAGTATTAACAAACAGTGAAATAGCTTAGATTAACAGCAAAATAATAAAGAAAACTTCCCTGAAGAATGTTTGATTTCTAGTTCATTTATTTTTCTTTGGTAATGCTCTCCACATACTGAAGGAAGCCTCAGAAGTACTTACTAGTTGAATATCACTACTTTGTGAAGGAAGCTTTTTTTCTTTTTGTTCCTTCAGTAAGATCATTATATATCATTTTAACTCAAGCAAACTCAGAACAAGGTTTCAAAATTTTCTACTTCCAAGTTTTGGCATAATTAAGTAATCTGAAACCTTAATGAAAGGTCACAGCAAAAACAACCAGAAGCATTATTGAAGAACATATATCTTTAGGCTAAGGAGTCAAGGTGATGCTTTAAAGCAGTAGTTCTTAAACCAGAACCAGAGTAAAAGGAAAGGGTTGATAGGATTCTATTCGTTTCTCTTCCAGAGCAGCTCCTTCTTCTTTTGTATGCTAGGCTTCTGTATGGCTTTTAGGAGTAGCACTTGGATTTCTTTTTCTTTTTTTTTTTTTTAAGTCAATTAATAGAAATATATTGAAGGGCTTCTGTGAAACATCATTTGAGTTTAAACAACTAGGTAATCTAAATTATCTACTTAGTAAAATATTTTTGTTTGTTAACAGAAACAGATATGCAATATGCAGCAAAAGTATATCGTGATGATCGACTCCGAAGGAAGGCGGATGCCTTGAGCATGGACAACTGTAAAGAACTGGAGCGGCTGACCAGTATTTATAAAGGAGGATGAACTGGAATTTTATTTATATCTTTTAGCATACTCTTTATTTTTCCTGTGAGTTTAGTTTTATCATGACAGCTAAAGAAAAAAATATTGATGTTAAAAACTAAACTGCATTGTTGGTCCCTGAAATCTTGGACTGTTTATGACCTACTGACTCCTTTAAATAATAAGAAACTGAAAACTAAAAATAATATTATAGTTATGCTTCTGCAATTATTTTCACTTTAAAAGCTTATATGATTACTAAAAATGTCTCGAGAAAGAATTATCACATCTGTAGCAGTTTCCAGTTTTAGTGATTTTCCATTTTTTCCCTTGTCATGTAAATACTCATGGAATGATCTTTTTGTGTATGTTCAGTTATTGCCTTTTAATTCTTTTAGTGTTTAGCTCCATGAGACACTTCAGTTTAAGTCTATGGAATAAATGTTCTATGACAAAATTATATTTTCCTTGTCAGATGTCAAATGTGTGGAGTTTAAAACAATGAAACTTTCAAAAAGAAAAATACAAAAGCTGTTTAACTTTGTTTAAAGTCTTGTAGCATTATCAGCTTAGAGGGAATTGATATTTTTAATATTGCCATTATATTCCAAAATATATATCAAGATAAATGAACTGGTGTAGAATATCAGTTTGCTATTTATTTAGTTTTATGAATTGCTAAGCCATGTGTAGAAATGAAATACTATACTGATAAGTTTTAAAGAAAATGTGAGGAAATGGCTATATAGATATTAAAGTCTTCAACAGTAAATTATAGTAAATTTGCAATCCCGATAATTAAAGGGCCCCCAAATGTTCATACATATCTATCTTTGAAGACTGATAAGATTTATGGAAAAAAGGATCTACCTGTTTTTTCCCCATGGAAATTTGCTGTTTCTTCTTAGTGATCATTTAAGCAGGATGCAAAAGTAAATGAGTTCTTATTACTTATTACAAATAAGTGATAAGAAAAATTACCACTTTGCTATGTGCCTTTTAACCTGATTGCCAATTCTTAAACATATAAATAGATTACAGTACACTTATTTGATCAGAGCACGATCTGTTTGGCCATATGCAACAGTGAGCCAGAAATATAGCAGCAGATAGAATAGTAATTTATAGCAAGATATCCTGACAAAATTCTGAGCTCAAATCTATTCACCATTGAATAATTCAATTAATCCTATAGGAATAAGCTCTTTATAGTTAAATGCATAATATAAATTTGAAAAATCAGCCAGAAATTGAAGTTTTTGGTGCCTGTATATTGGGTATGCAATTATTTAATTTCTAATTTCCTATGTTTCACAATTCTAATATTTTAATGATTTTGCTTTATACTCAGTTAATGGAACATGAACACATTTTTGGTAGTTTTTTTGTGTTTGAGAGAATGCTATTGAGAGTGTCAGTATTTTGTTTAAAGATATTTTTCTAAATGTAGTTAATTTACAGCATCTGTTGAAACTTTTAAAATGACTAATCTTTTTTAAATGTTCTCTTATATCCCCTTTCCAGATGAGTCAATAGGAATACTTGAGTGAATCAGTAGGTTAAACTAAACAACATATTATTCTAGGAAAAGCAGACAGCTAAGCTTAACCAACTTTCTTTTAGAAATGCTACCTTTAAAAAATAGCAGTGCTTAAAAGAAAATACAATTTTAAATATTTTCTTGAGCCTGTAGAATAAATTGTTTAAAAAAGGTAATAGCATTCTAATTAACTTTGGAAGTTCATATGCATCAGAAAACTTAAAAAATTGAAATGAAAAATTTCATCCATTTATTTTTCCATTTTAATGGGAAATTTACACAATTGTGATTGATGCTTCTGTGAATTGAACTCTTGTTGACTGATTCTTTTTCCCTTAATCCTGGCTTTAAGGAGATAGATAAAGTTATCAAATTAAGTGAAGTTATTTATTATGAAGTCATACATGGCTTTTGGACAGTGTTATATCATTCCACTTCATGAAATATTTGGGGAAATGTGTTTGATAAAATAAAATTTTCAAACACATGTGGGAAACGACTGAGTGCCTGACAACTTAAGCTGCATATAGAGTATGCAAATAAGATTAAGTTCTTAATGTCACCTATATCATGGTGTAAAGGCCCAACCAAATGTGTTAGAATTTTGGGTTATTACCTACAAAGTAAGGAGACTTTAGCTATATTGAAATGTAAGATTTTCATGTTTGCCCCTCTTAAAAATACCAACATTTTCTTATTTTTAGCTACATGAGCTTTACAATTTTATTCGAAAACTTGTACTGTTCATTTTAATGATTGCCCTCACTCTAAGTATTGCTTTGCTAGCTTCTCTTACTGGCATTTTAGAAGTTTGGCAGCGATTATATTTATTAATGCTTTACATTTTTATCCCTTTTTACATATATACACAAACATCATTGTCTTTGTAAGGATTTGGGGGGAAAATAAATAATACCTTTTCTTCTGCTTTTTTGATTCCTTGGTTTCCAAATAGACTGGTGCTAGTAAGTTTCAGAAGTAATTTTGATCAAATCGGGGAATTTGTAAGTTTCAGATTTTATTTTTATCAAATCTGAGAATTCTCAACAATGGGGAATTTCAAATTATAGTTCATCTAATAAGTGAAAACACTATGTTTTGGAAACATTGCATTTCATTGTTTAAATTAGTATTTCTTTTATAATTATTACATGCTTATTTATGATTTACAGAGATTTGATACAGAAAAGAAAGTCCTTAAGGCATATATATATGCCAGTGCATTAAGCCAGTCTGCTTCTGTGTCAAATCAGGCATTCACAGAAACAGTAATGTGAAATTCCAGTCCTTTATTTAATTGCACTTTTATGCTTAAATTTTCTTCCTGTTAAATCTTCTATTACACTAGTATGTAAAATAGTTACCAAGAGAAATGATTGACATGTTCAGTTCCCTTTGTGGATTTGCAATATTTAAAATGTAGCTATTATTTAACTAATGTGGCATATTAGTATTACTTAATAGTGTATTCCTTCATATTCATAAAAAAATAAATCTCCACCTGAAGATATTCAGGCAGTGAAATATTTCTTGATGTTGGCCTGAGGACCAAATGAGCCATCTTTCCAGTCGAGTAAGTATTACATCAAAGGACCAAATGGTTCAAATGGAGAATTTGTGCATTTATTTAGCTTCCCCATATGAAGCTTGGGTTTAGTACTACCCATATTACTACTGTCTTTATACTGAGCTAAGCAAACTAAAAGGGCATTCATAATTTTTCTCAACTGAACAGAAAAATTTCCAAAAATGAATAATAAATCAGAATTTTAATCTTTATTGGCCACATTGGACCACTGCCTAGTTAAAATCCATAAAATTCTCTATACACTGGTAAAGAAAATAGTCATCTGATAATAACTTCCAATTTTTTTTTATTCTAATTTTTCATTACACAGAAAAAGTGGGTAAAATAAGGATCTTCAAGGAATTCTTGTACATCCCTTTAATAATCTGGCGGGCAACACAGTCCTAGAATTCAGGCTTCCTTTTTGCTTTCATTACTATTAAATAGATACTTTCATTTAAGTAGAAACATTTTATTTTCCCTCAAAACGCAATTCAAAATATACTCCTTATATTAAGGACTATGTAGCCACTTTTTTTGTAAATTCCCTGTGTGTATCTTTTTTCCTGTTGGTACGTGATTACTTATTTAATTTTATTATCTGCTGGTTTGGGGGGGCCAATAGACTTGTGAATATTCTGTGGATGTGTCCATGTATAGCTGTATATATATAACTCTATATATTTTTTCCAGCTATTACCTCAAATGTGTGATTGTTTAATGTATACGACACGTTTGCACAGAGCAGGGCTTCCATTATCAGTGGATATTCTTATTGCTGACTTTGAAAATCACACCACAGAATTTCATTGACGTGAATTCTTTCTGTGATATTTTTCATATTTTAAAACATTCCTATTATAAGGCCCATACTTCAAATATAATTGTACCTCTCTATATTTAGCAATCTGGAAATATGTATGGGTAAGAAGTGTTTATTGAAATGTCTTAGTTTAGTATGTTACCATTGAAAATTGGGATTACTGGTTGCCAGGCTGTCTAGAAACTGCATAGCTGATGATAGACAACTGGCATGAATGTGACAAGGTTCATTCACTTAAGCACCGGAATCGGTACAGTCCACTCTGATATCCTGTTTTGCTATTTAAGAACACCACTAAAATAATATGGATTTTTCAGTGACATTGGGTATTTTAAGCATCAATTTCAAAATGAATTCTTTTGGAGTTGGATGACTATGCCAATAAGAAGAAAGGAACTCACACATGAATATTTTGTAATTTATTTGTATTAAGAAATGCTTCTTACCTTTTTTTTTTTTTTGGATTGCTACATAAGAATTTCTTTCCATTTAGAGTTTAAATCATGTTTTTAAAAGCTACAGATAATTTTCAAGGTGTGATGGAATTTTAATGGAAGCCTTGTATAAAAAGTTAAATGAAGTGAAACTGGTAAAGGACATCTTAACTTTATTTGTTTCTAGTGCATTCAAGATTATATAATTAGATTTAAAAATGAAATGTCTGATTTGTAAAATATTTAATGTTATATCAGACTTATATAAAATAAAATTTTCTGTGTGAGAACTCTGTTAAAGAAAATGATTTCGATTTTTAATGAATGTTCTGCTGAATGATATATGATGAATTTTTGTCTTTCAGCCTCTGCAGTTTATCTTAAATATGAATAAAAAGGTCTGTTCTCACTGTAAAGGATTTGTTTTTATCATGTTTTCTATTCTTAATATGCCCTTTCATTCATTCATTTAACCACTCAATAAATATATGAATACCTACTATATGCCAGTGAGCTAGCTGAGTGTTGAACAAGACATGGAACAAGACAAAAAAATAATAATAATAACTTATGAAATTTACATGTAGCAAGGAAGATAAATGTCAAGTAAATAATTGTAATGATGATGAATGGTACAAAGAAAATTACAAGGTATAGTGAGAGCATATATCTAGAAGACTTAACCTACTCAGGGAGGACCAGGGAAGGTTTCTCTGAGAAACTGACCAAAAGCTGAAACCCAAAAGATAAGCATGCTGGAGAAGTGTTTCAGGCAAAGTATGCTAAGTTGATAAAGTCATAGAAACTTTACAGAAATGAAAACAAACTTGTATGATTATGGCATAAGAAAGCCAGGATAAATTAGAATTAAAATAGGGGCCTGATCCCATAAGATCATATATAAAACATGATGATAATAATTGCACTTTATCCTAAACAAGTAGAAAACCTCTGTGATTTTTAAGGAGGGAGATACATGATAAGAGTTGAGTTTTCAAAATATTTTAGTTGCCGTGCAGAGAAGACTGGAAGGCAAAAGTGAATGTAGGAAGGGTAGGAAGTTACTGTCCAAGGATAGATGGTCATATCTTAGACCAGAGTAGAAACATGGATAAGTGAATTTGAGAGAGATCCAGGAGGCAGAATCAAGAGAAATGTGATTACATCTGGGATGGAGGCAGCAATTAAAAATGTCTCAAAAATTTGGATATAAAGCGAGTAGAGAAAAATGGTAGTAGCTGGAAAAGGAGGTGGTGTCTAAAGAAGGCTGGTTTTTTTTTTTTTCCAATTATTAATTTTATGAGACCTTTCTATTTATGACAAGAGAGACCTTACCAATTTTTCTTATTCTGATGGAAAGGGGCAAGTAGAAAGTGAAAGAGTAAAGATAGAGAAAAAGAGAGATAATAGCATTAAATACCTAATATGTTCAGAGGATAAAGGATCCACTGCAAAAATGTAAGAATTACTTGAGCTAAGAGACACCACCAGCATTTTTTCAGAAAGGAATGCATGGAGAATAATAGGTACATGCAGGTAGATTTGTAGCATTAGTGGGATGATGTTATAGTTTGCATTCTCTTGGTGAAATAGGCAGTTTATACAAAGTGGGGGAGAGAGAAGAATGATAAGCAGAGGCTTAGAATGAAGATAATTTGAAGGAGTTCTTTTCACTGATTCAGCTGACTAGTGAAAAAGTAGGATTTCTATGGATTCCAGGTTGGTGACAGAATTTACAGCCTATTTAGTTGTATTTTCTCCAGCTTAACCCAGCAGCTTAGGCATAGGCATGGAGGATACTACTCATTTAACTCATTCAAAGTTGGCGTTCTGTTCAGGCACTAAAGTTGGTAGGGGAGTTCAAGATGTTGACAAGTGCATTCCACTGACTATTCGATGTAAGCTAGAGATCAGGGGAACTGGTGATTTCTGAGGTGACAGCATAAGTCCAGGGTGTGATGACAATGGATGGTAGCATACAAGAGCAAGTTATTGCATGTGACCTTATAATTGTATTCTCAATGGGCCAAATCCTGAACCACAGCCTGAATCAAAATGACTGGATATCCGACTTGGACAGTCTGTGATAAAATTTTCGTTTTTGTATGTTGGAGAATCTGCAACACTCTTCTACCCATGCGAGTTTGAATACCAACTAGAATTTTCACACAGTGGAGCCAGCCTAAATCTAGATGATTGTTGATTTTTTGATAGGAAAGCAGAATAAAAAAAAAAGTAGAGATCTGCTGTATACAACAGCTAAGAGAAATTCAAGCTAAAGAGAAGCAGAAACAAAGGCTTCAATAGAACCAATAAAGTTAGAACTTTAACGTGTATGTTTATTAATTACATAATATACTAGTATGAAGTGTACATAGTAAAATAGAAAATTTGAATGAGATAAAAATTGTATGCATGTATGTGTACAATTTTCCTTAGTTTCTTACTGAACCTCGGGGATCATCTGGTACACCCACTTTGGCGAACTGGTACATAGTGCTGATCATCTTTTAGAACAGTAAATATTTCCCTTAGTCCTAAACTAACAGCAGTGGTATTAATGAGTAAATGCAAATGGAGTATGAGTACATAAGGAACTCTCCCATTAACATGCTATAATTCAGAAACCATCACACTTGGAAATTAGAAATCTTATTAGTTCTTTCTATTTGAGAACAGTGATGTTTGGAGATTTTGGAAAACTATGCCGTCCCTTTTTGCCACTCGAGAGGAAGGAAAAAATATTTTCCAGGTCAACTACCATTAAGGTAATTAAGGTGGAGAATTTTGTAAAAAATGAAAAGCATCTCCAGAGATTAAAAAATTCTTGCTAGAGTTCATATTTTTACTTGTTTCTAAATTTGGGTCGGGGTGGGGAGTAGGGAAACGGTGAAAGTCAGGGCCAAGGTTAATGGTTTCTTTTAATCACTTTAATAACTTTTATTCCACAAATGTCAAACGAGTGCCTGCTGAGTGCAAGAAACTTACACAAGAAACTGGAAAAAAAAAAAAAAGTAAAACATGCCCCAGTCTTCTAGACTTTATGGTCTCATTGGGGAAACAAAAACTGTGACATCTAAGCACAAATAAGTATTGATTATTCTTGGTAGTATATAGTAGCATTCAAGAGAATAGTAGGTGAGAAAGTGTTACAAGGAAAAGAGATTTAAATAGTGAAGGGGTTCAGCACATGCCACCACAAAATATGCAACTTCGGCATATCGACTCTTGAGCTGAAAGCACTAAGAAATAGATGTAGGAAGGGCTCTCTGACCTCTTTTCTACCTAACACTGGTCATTAAATTTTCCATAAGGTGCCTTCCCTCTACCCAGAAGAGAACATCCCTATCACTAGAGACAGGGAATTGATGCCAAAATGTACCTGTACAAAGAAACCTAATAAAATAACCTTTATCTCCCATTAGTTTCCCCAGTATATTCAGTAGTCACTGTCCCATAATTAACTGCCCTGAGTCTAAGCCCTTTTGTCTTGTCACATCTCCACAATTTATCGTCTTTCTGTAAAAATGTATATAAACTTTTGGGCCTAACAGCTTCTTCGGATTTTCATTTCCTTCTGAAGACTCCTATGTATACATAAATACGCTACATAAATTTGTATGATTTTCCTCCTGTTGTCTATGTCAGTTTAATTCTTAGGCCCAGCCACAGAACCTTAAGAGGGTAGGAGGAAATTTGTCCTCCCCTACAAGAAAAGTAATCTTATCAGGTGAAAAGAACCTCCTGAACCAGTGTGGGAAAAGTCGTGTTGATGGAAGGGTGAGGTAATCAATTTGGCTGGAGTATGATTCACATCAGAATGTATTCAGAAGTAAAATTCATATGTAAAGTGCCAGATTAGAGACTGTCAACTTTATCACTGTCTGCAATGGTGCATAACTAAAGATTTGTTTGAGCAGCAGTAATGTTTATGGTTCTAGGAAGGTTTATCTGGCCATTAAGTGGCTGTTGATATAGTCTTGCTGAATAGAATAATGGTTTGAACAAAGAATTGAAAAACTACAGATGACGTGAGGAAAGAGCACACATGACACCTGACTAGTAGAATCAAGAAACCAACACAGACATACATCAGGAGAAAGATTTACTGGAGAACCTTTTAAAGCTTTTGAGTTAGAGCTGACAGTAAGACATGTACGTAGAAATATCTAGCTATCCAGAATCCAACAAGCAGCGGAAAATGTGAACCTAGAACTTAGATGAAAGTTGGATTTAAGACTCACATTCTTAGGACACCGTGGAAAGAGAAAAACAGAGAAACCAAAGGCAAGCTTTAAATGCCATCATTTAAAAGTTGGAAGACTAGAGTAGATGAGGATCTGAAATAAATAGAGCTGCGTCCTAGAAGCTAAGAAAACAAAGGGTTTAAATGATGAAAAAAGTGATCTTCAATGATGTCAATTGCTGTGGAATTGTTAAATTCACTTGTAACAAGTCATTTGTAACATTTGGGAGCTTTGTCGTTTACCATTTCATCTTCCAGGAATAACTGGGAAGTATCCAATTCTTATCACTACGTCTTGGGCTAGAGTTAATTCTTCTTGCTCTCTTGTTAAGAATTGGAGTTGAAGATAAATCGTAAACAAGTTCTCGCAGACCTCATTTTCCTGCCACCAACAGCAGGTCTTTGTTAAATGTGCAAACAAGCAAGGCATCAAACAAAAAACGATATGGGCAGTTCTTACATGCACAGACTTCTAATTCAAGAGCCAATTAAGGTTATCCAATGTCTGCTTACGTTGAGGTGCACCCATAATCGTGAGAACTCCAGAAAGCCCATGGCTCAATTCAACCTAGACAAGATCTTGAGTAGAGCAGTGGGTGGTGGTAAACAGGGGAAAGCCAAAACAGACTAAGAAAGTGGGGTCTGAAACCTATGGACGTGGGACTTGCAATCACGGGCAATCTGCTTGCTGTTCAGTTTGCGACACCATCTCTTCAAATTTTTCATCTAAAATAACAGGTTTTAAGGTAATAGATCCTGCAAAACTAATGAAATTTATACACCCTCTCCGCACAAAAATGTCTTTTAGCATGCCTTCCTAGGACGGAGTTAAGGCGCAGCAATCTCACACAAATCCGCCCTGGTACAGCCGGTGTCCCGACGCTCTGGTGTCTGCGCAGGCGCAGGAGGCAGCCGCGGAGGGCCGGAGTTGGGCGGGGCGCGACGCACGGCCGCGCGCTCCCAGTTTCCGCAGCACCTTCCCGGAAGTCCCGTGTCACCAGACGTCGGAGGCGTAGGAAGTGCTTCCTGGAGCATAGAAGAGGTCACAAGTCATGTGAGGGTAGCTTTCTGAGGAACCTGCTTCTGAAGTTGTCCCTGAAGGACAGCAGGCAGCCCAGAACTCTGCTGCCCAGAGAACCAGGCGGCCCAGAAACCGGGTAACGAGCCACTTTGCCCGATGTTCAGGCCTGGGCCCGCGGGTGGCAAGGGCGGTGAGCTGGAAGAAGAGAGGACAACCCTTCCCCTTTATTTTGGGCCTTAGACCTTGGGGGCTGGGGAGGCCGAGTTGGCTGAAGTAAGGCATCCCGGCTATCCGTGTGGGCATCTGGAAACTCCGTTTCCCATCGATCTCCCTGCGCCCAGCCCTAGAGCCGCAGACTCATCTCTGACCCTGATGAGAGCTGACCGCGCTTATTAAGGTGGTGTTGGGGAGGGCGAGAAAGCCAGGAACGGAGAGTCACCAGGAGTTTCTTTTTCAGGCGTGGATATTGACCCTGCGGGAGAAAGGGGTTCGTCATGGCGGATGTGAGTTAACACCCCAGCACAAGAGGAAGGAGAGGGTGGGGAGTTTGGAGGAGGCTACTGGGAGGCGAGAGTGGGTTCTTCCCAAGTAGAAATTCGTTTTTGTTTTGGCCCTCCACACCTTTATTTTCTCTAGGATCTGGAGTTAGAGATTAATGTGAATGAATTCTCTGGGGCCCTGAGTTTCTGCCTGGAATTGGGCTGCAGGACACTTAGGTGCCTCCTGCCACAACACAACCCTGCGGGCATAGAGAGGCTCCGAATATTTATCATTTCAATTTTAAATGATGGTTTGCTACTTGGAATCCCTTTTTTTTTTTTTCCTGCCTAGCCAGTGGTCGTGATGGTTTTCTGGGTTCATTGTAGCATTTTAGGTGATTTCCAACTGATACCTCTTCACAGCAGTAAAAGCCAAATTCTAAATTTAGGTAACTTAATTGTGCTAGTTAATAGAAACAGCCAGAAATTAATACTAGTACTAATGTTTATATTTTATATCTTGTTACTTTGCTTACATACATCCTGGTTCTAAATATTGAACATGTACTTGTTTCTAAAAACAACTTTAGGAGGTAAGCAGTGTTATCCCTGTGTTATAGATGAGACTGCTGAGGCATAGAAAGATCAAGTAACTTGCCTCAGGTTACACAGCTAGTACTTGTGGAGTCAAGATACCAACCCAAGCAGTTTGGCTCCAGAGTCCATGCGCTTAACTATTACACTAGTCATTCAGTATTAATAGGAATCTGATTTTTCTTTTTAGGTTGCAAGATTATGTGTTTCAACATTAAGCAACTTTTTATGCCTTTATCACTCCATTTTGGGGCGTCTCATTATATTTTCGAGACATTATTCAGGCATAATGAAATCACTAAATATCTATTGAGCATCTGCCTTGCAGTCGTTGCTGTAATAAGGGCTGTGGGTGAAATAAAGATGAATAATGTAGAATTCCTCTCCTTAAGGGTTTGATAGTTTAAGAAAACAGTAGGCAAGTGATCACATATATATACATTATTGTGTGGCAATGTAAAGGAGAGGGATTACATTGGTTTGTGTTTATCAGTAAAGCTTATTTGGAGTATATGACAGTTGAGATTAGCTCTAAATGATGAGAAGCAATTTTTTTAAAAGTGAGATTGAGAGGGAGAATATTACTAGCAGAATGATAGCATAAACAGAATTAGATAGGAAAGAGAGGTGGGTGTGGAGGAGCTATAAGTAGCCCAATTTAGCTGGGGCTGTAGATAGGTATGAGGGAGTGGTAGGAAGCAGGACTATACACTTAATTGTAAACCATATTGTAGAGAGTCTCGAATGTCTAAAGAATTTTTATGTAATAAACAATGGAAAGCTTTCAAACACTGGTTCTCAACCTCAGCTACCTAGAGAGTCATCTTGGGAACATCTCCAACCCAGGCATCAGGAGGTTTTTTGTTTTGTTTGTTAATGCACCTTATGTGTTATCCATACCTGAAGTTGAAAATCACTGCAATTACGGCTTTTGAGAAGAATAATACCATTATTGGCACTGCGTAGAACTGTATAGAATAGAAATGGGAGATCAGCATACCAGTTATGCTAGTGCAAGTCATAAAAAATAAAATGAAAATAAATAAAATGTCAGTTGATAAGGAGAAGAGATCAGTTTAAAAACATTTGACTTCTCGGGTGATTTAAAAGTGACAAATTTGAGATTAGGGTTAAATATTACTCTTAGTGTCACTTGAATAAACGGGCTTGGTAGTGCTATTAGTGGAAACAAGAGATTGAGGAAATCTGAATTTCAGGTGAAACATGATGAGTTGAGATTTTTTGTGTGTTTAAAATGAGAGCAAAGGTAAACTAGTGGTGACATGAAATAAAATGAATATTTAGGTTTGAAGAATAGTAGGGATTCGAGTTCCAAAACAGTAGATCTAGTTTATCTATGTAGAACTCATAATTGACACCTGGATTGTCAGTGAAATCTCCTAGATGAATAAAATAAAATAATTTTTTATTTCTTTCATCCTAATTGTGTTCCATGCTAAACCCTTGTCATACATTGTTATATCTTTAGTCATGTGAGGAAATTGCATTTTAGAGAAGTTAATCAACTTACCAAGATTGTTAAAGTGATGTAAGAAAGTCTGTATGTAGATGTGGAAAGATTCATAATATAATCTCAAGTGAACACAACAGTAGCAGCAGGATGTGAAATAGGAAAAGTATGATCCAGTTTTATAGCTAATATGTATTTGTGTTTCCCATTTTCAGATATGCTAATCACTTTATATGTATCTTCTCATAAACTTTAAAAACAATATTATGACATCGATTCTATTATTATCCCTACTTAACAAATGAAACTAAGGCTTAGAGAAAAGGGTTAGTTAACTAGCTCCAAGTCACAAAACGTGTCAAAATTAGAAAAAGTAAAACACAAGAAAGGTTATGAATTATGATTTAAGATACCTGAAATATGGCTAGGACAGGCTATAAGGAGCTAGTGCAAGGCATATTATTATTATATGATTTATTTTTATATTCTCTTTCAGGACCTAAAGCGATTCCTGTATAAAAAATTACCAAGGTAAAAAATTGCTAATTTGTTACAATATAAATTCTATATAACATTATGTGTAGCATTTTATTTCTAGCTATTTTAGACTAACACTGTGTGTATATTATGCTATTACTTTTCACTTTCAAATACCTAACGTAACATAATTTGCAGATAAATAACATGAGATCTAGAGAAGTTACAAGACTTATCCCAGCTTAAATGTCAAGTGGATGCCAGAGGACTAGAAATTAGATTTCTTGCCACTTTAGAGTTCTTTCAAATATACTATCATAGCAGTTTACTGGATTATACTTTGAAGTAGAGTAATTTTGGGGGGAAAAAAACCTAAGAACTTGTCTTTATTTTTAAATAATGACTTTAAGACCTAATTGTTGAGTCTGCAAAACCCCAAAATGTTAGATTTAGACAACATTTTATACTTGGAAAACTCATAAGGCTTTCTTTTGCCTGCACACAGTCCATTGGATGTAACATTTTATAAATTAGGCTTTTGTATCGAGGACAGGAAACTTCATATTAGAAAATTTACTGATCGAAATGATGTTGCTTTAGTTTAATTAAAATTCACATTTAGTTTAGTGTAAAATGATACCTTGGAGTTAAGGACATGAAAGAGAGGAATATAATTTGAGACATTCATTTCCACATTCCAGAATAACTGAATAACTGGTGAGAGACTACAGTAAAATATATGCCGAGGTCTTTTTATTTCTTTTTAAATTTCTTATCTTCCAAATCTTTGAAATTTAAAAAGGTTTTAGACATCAGTTTATTTCTGTAGGTAGAGGGAAAAACCTTGTTTGGATTTTTTCTTGAATTGTTTGGTGTGGCTTTTGCTGTTGACTTGTGCCTTTACTCTGATTACAGACCACTGGTGATTGATGATATTATCTTTTATTTTTAATTTATATATTTTTTTCATATCAAGAATAAAACACTGTTGAGGTATTAAATAATTACCATTGATTTTATGTTAATGCAATACTTAAATTTAATTTTACTCTTTTTCTCTTAATATTGACAAACTAAAGACCAGCTGCTGATTTCTGTTCTCGACCTTATGATCAGCAATACAGGCAGTCCTAGCTTTGCACAGTGCTGCAGGGCCATAACAATGACTACACAAGCTGAAATTGTCCAAAGCAATTTTTGTAATCAAAGGGAAAAATTAGCTTTTTTTTGTGATCTTTAAAAGTTTTTGTCAAAACATTGAAATCTCTCTTGTTTGTTATATTTAGGGGACTGGAAACAAATACTAAAACTAGTATTTGCTTAATTCACTGTAACTTAAAACAGTAGAAACATTGAGAATTAAGAGTGTTTATTTCTTTGTAAAAAACTTACCAAGAGTAGTTTGAACAGTGTTTGCCTACCATGTTTCTTTTCATATACCTTAAGATGTATGAAAGCTGTATCTTTAAGATAAAGAGCAGGCATCTTTTCTATGCTTTGGCAAATTGGCATACTCCTTTTTAAGTTTGGATCAATGTCCAACTTTTTGTCCTTTAGGCTTTCAATGTTGTAAAATATCTCAAGAGTTCTTTTATGTGAGATTTTTTTGCCAGTGTCACTTCCTCTGAGATATCATCATCCTTTTCATCACAACCACTTTTCTCATTTATGTCAATGTCTGCCTTCACTAAGTTCCTCTGGCTGCACATCTCGTTCCCAGCAGTGATAATGTCAATATTTCCTCAGCCAGCTATTTGTTAACTCTGCTTTCTATTTAGATTTCACTTTCAGCATTATCACTTTTCATTTCTTTGCTGTATTTCATCTTTATTGGCCTTATTTCAGTTATTTTTTAAATATTACTGAAAGATGAGCTAAAGCTATATACTTTGCTCTCACGTAAACTGAGTAACAGATGCTCAGTGACCAGTCACCAATATACTTTGAAAGAAGTGATGTGACTGGTTAATGATCACAATGCCTGTCTGTTATTTATAGCCATTTACATAATGACTTGTGACCTGAAGAGTTAGAGAAGTCTGTACTTTATACACTTATTCAGTTAATATACCATACTTATTGAAATTTGACCTGGGCTGTTGAGGGGGAGTGGTGTTATTTAATTAAACTGACAACTGAAATGTGTTCAAATTAGAAGTACAAAAATGAGGGCTTTCTATATTAATCTGTATTTACCTTGTTGGGCATAGTATATTGAAATACCGCTAAAATTGGTGATGGTGGAGAAGTGGAGAAATACCACACTGGAGACAAAATAGAGGAACAGAAGCATAGTTGATAATTGTTAAAATGATATTTGTAAAAACAATGAAAATCTTTTCGTGATGGAAGGAAAGGGATTACTACCATGTGGTTTTTTTTTTCATGACTGAGACCAGATTAATTTCCTATTCATGACCATTTCTTGAAAGTCAGCTTATTGAATCCTAAAAGAATGAAGAAATAATGATGTTGAACACTTATAAAGAAAAGTAGTACAATATACACTTTGATTCGTTGCTATATATATGTAAAGTTAAGGGATTAGGATGCAGGCAGCCTGGCTTCAGAGCTTGTGGGCCCATGCTTTTATAATCGTTTGACTGCTGTGCCTCTCAACAACCAACTCAGACAGCTACAGATGTTAATATATGTGGTTTTGTTTTTTAGTCCAGCAAGTTTAATTTTTAGACTTGTATTTTAAAATCTAGTTGTGACCCAAATCAGTCTTAGGCTTTAATAGTTAGAACTTTATGTGTTTTAAAATAACCAAATGTTTCATCATTATATGACTAAAACTAAGTATGATGTCTTTGAATACTAATATAACATTTACTTTTGGAATAAAAACACTTGTTTTAGCAAGCTTTAAGGTTTAGATTTCTGCAGACTATTTCATGAAAGTTAATTTATTCCATCTTAAAGTATAGTGTACCTATTAATGCATCATAGTTTTTTTTAGTTATTACTAAACTGTATTCATGTTATTCTTTGTTGACTGTGGAAAATTAGAAATACCTTTTATATTTGTGACCTGATTTCTTTAATTGGGTATTTTAAGTAAGTGTGTATGTTTTCTACTTTGTTGGACATTTCTCTTTGTGAATTTGCAATCCCTTGAAAAGAAAGTGTTTCTGCTTCTGAGAGAAAGTCTTTTTGTCACTATAACCACAAAGAATAAACTATAACCTAGTTTTTAACTTAGAAGACTATATTTATGTATTAATCTTATAGGTTATGTTTTAATCCATAGATAGTTTTGGAATTGAATGATAATAGAAAATAATACCAGTAAATATTTATACACAGTGGTTTCATCATTCTTATTTTTAATGTAAGGCGGATAAATGGCTTTGTTTATAACATTTTCTCCTCAAATTTTAATAACCTTTCTCTGATTTAAAAGTTTTTGACAATGGGATTAATAGAATTTTAAGTTCAAAATCTTAAGTTAATATGAATTTTCTTCATCCCTAAATTAAAATATTAAGGTTAACACAATAAGGAGTGGCTAATTCTGGATTATAGTAGGAACATTGAACATATTTCTGAGTTGCAATCTACAGATATTACAAGATAGTTACAAAGCTATAGATTGTGTGTAAATGTGTCCTATTATAATTTTTAACACTATACTTTTGTGCTCTAGGGATTCTCACTAATAATTAAATATTTAAACTGCCTTGATAAATTATGTCATTGTCAGTATACACAGATGACACCCCGATGTTAACTAATAATTAATATAACTGTGTACCAGCCTCTACTTTACATGCATTACTTTATTAAATTTCACATAGCCAAATAAGTACAGTTATTGCCATCTTCAGATTGTGAACTGAGGCTTAGGTTTCATAACTGGCCCAAGGCAGCATAAATAGTAAGCAGGAGAGCCCGAATGGAACCCAGGTCTGACTTCAGAGCTACCGTCTCGACCATTCTGCTTACTGCTGCTGATGTGGGCATGGCTGACAGGGTTGCTGCATGACCTTCATCCTTCCCGTTTAGTTCCTTCAGCCTAGAAGGAACAATCTTTTTGCACATCTTCTCTTAATCAGTGCCATAACACCCCAGCCGAGCTATCATTTCCTCAGGGAAACCTTCCCTGACCCAAATGTCTAAATCAAGCCCCTCTTTGATTTGATAGGCTCTCATGTCCCCACAGATCTCTTAATGGCACTTGCCACAGTTGTAGTTTTATATTTGTCAGTGTGGGATTATTTGATTGATAGCCACTCTCTTTTTAGATTGTTAAGTTTTGTGAAGGCAGCGACTTTTTTTATTTTTGCTTAGCATGGTATTATAAGTATTAAGTGCCACAAATACTGGGCACTTGATATTGGAATGAATGAGAGAAAGTCTTTTTGTCACTATAACCACTACTGATAACGTGTCATACTTTTGTAATGATAATTAGCAATTTAAGGAGAATCAGCTGTATTTTAGATTTTTTATTGATAAACTGCATAAATTTGTAAAGATTAAGAACATGTCAGGAATACACATTCAGTTTCTGGAATAGTTTGGCAAACAGGAGCTTATGCTATCAATAATTGAGTTTCCATGTTTTTTCAGAAATCTGCTTGAAAAATACCATTATAACTTTAAGGTACATATTTTGAGAAAATGAAATGTTTTATAATATTTTAACTTTTTTCTTTCTAGTGTTGAAGGGCTCCATGCTATTGTTGTGTCAGATAGAGATGGAGTGCCTGTTATAAAAGGTAAAACTGAGCACTTACATGCCAGTGTCATGTTTCTTTTATAATAAAATTATTTATATCTGAGTAGTACAGAGGCAAGCATATAAAACTCATTTCAATAAATTCAGGAGATGGTCTTAATTGGGGGGGACATATTTGTTTTTGTATATTGAAAGCTGTATTGGAACATAAGTTATCACATGTTAAATATATCATGTTACCATCCAGAGTTTAAGGATGGATTTATCACAGGCCCAGTTTCCTGTTAAAGACATTTTGTGGTATAATATTAGTAAGTCTAAGTGATGACACTGGGTATGTATGCATCTGTATATGTTATACACACAGATTCCCCCTAGTATATATATTTTTAATCATATTGCTGGTAGTTTTTGATAAACGTCCATACATTTTAATCAGTACATATTTATTGCATCGTTTAATCTTTCTTGATTTTTCTACTTGTTTACTGGAAATGAGATTTTTTTTAACTTTTAACTTCATAATTTAGTTAACCAGACTCTAACAAGAATTTTTCACCTAAAGAAGAGCTTGTTAACCTCAAAAATAACTTTTTTTCACCTGATTTTCAGTCTTTTTTTTTTTTTTTTTTTAATGTATGCATTGTCACAGAATCAGTATATGTTAAGACCATTTTTACTACTTCCGTCTGGTATCAGAATGGATGTGTATAGTTATACTGGGAAACTAATAGCTTTACCAAAGAAAGATTAAATAATGTTCTGTACATTTTGTTTCCAATCTGGTTTCCACCTGCAGTTATCACGTGTCACGTAATTTTAGACTTTAGAATTGAAAAGAAGTTTAGAAATCACTTAATTTAGTTCTTTTCTTTTATAAGCAAAGATGGTCAAGTGCAAAGAGTACATTGTCAGTACTAAGTTGCACGTGCGAGTGACAAGATATAGTAGAAACCACCATCTCCAGTGTGCTTTCTAACTCACCATAAAACATACGTGGCCATGAGCAAGTCACTTGCCTTTTCTTAGTTCTGTAAGAAGGGCTTTGAACAAAATAATCTCAGATTTTCCAGCTCGTATGTTTTTTTCTGAGGATTCTGTGTTAAAGCCTTAAGCTTGCACTTAACTGGTACAGCTACATGATTTTAATGAGTTTAAGAAAACAAATAGCCAGCTGCAGAATTATTAATATCTATAGGCAATACTACTGTTGATTTTATGAGAGCAAAGTTTTCTAAAGCTTTTTTTCATTATTCTAGCTTGGCTCTCAGTTAACCAGAATATTCAATTTATTAAATGTACTGATTAATCTGTCTTAGGGTTGATATTAAGAAAATATCAGCATTTAGTATTCTTTTAAAAATAAAAAAAATACTGTGAGAATCATTTTTTCCCTTAGTTATAATCACTCAGCTTCTGATTGAGCAGTATTTCCCACCTAAATTGATGAGACCCAATTAGCCATAAGATTTTAAATATCGTAAAGCAGAACCCTTGTGCTTGATATTTTTATGGATATATGTTTTATATCTGTATGTGTGTGTATATATTTATATACATATATATATATAAACATATATATATATATTATGAATGTATATACACATGAGAAAAACACACACACACAAAAGTATCTCCAGATGGTTAACTTTCTTTACACTTTTCTAGGTTTTATATTTTCTATGCTGAGGATGATTGTAAAGATATATATATATATATATATTTGGTTCTGTAAATCTTTTTCCTACCATATTCACTGCATAAGTTTTGATTAAATTATTTGTATTTCCAGTGGCTAATGATAATGCTCCAGAGCATGCTTTGAGACCTGGCTTCTTATCTACTTTTGCCCTTGCAACAGATCAAGGGAGCAAACTTGGACTTTCAAAAAATAAAAGCATCATCTGTTACTATAATACCTACCAGGTAAGTTCATAACTAATTAATGATTTGCTGATTTCAACTATTATTGTTATGTCTTCTATAGAAAATAGCTTGTGTTATCATTCTAAGTTTTAATTTTAAATGGGATGGAATTTTAAAATCTTAGCTTTCAAATTAGTTACATTAAACTATAGTACTTTTTTTCATATTTTACACTAGGAATTAATATGGAAAAGTATTTTTAAAAGATTTAATAATAAAGTACATGTTACCCTGAAAAGGTAATTTAGGTCACTGTTACCTCCAGTAGATGGTGCCCTTAGCTTTACAACTGATTTCTCAAATGACACACTTTTTTTGTTGTTATGACAGATAAAGAATTACTCTAGAAAGTCAAATGATAAGTTATTTAAATTTGTTACTGCTGCTAATACCTTCATTTGATTTGGGATATATATATAATAAGTGAGATTATTAATTGTGGGAAAGAAATTACTTGCTACATACCTCTTGATCTCCAGCTGTATTTTCTTTTTTAGAATAAATTAATTGTTTGTGTTTTACAGCAATGTTTCCCAGAGTATGATTTATGTATCACTGATGATAAGCAACTGACATCTTTTTATTTTAAAAGTTATATATTCTGATGTGTATTAGGCAAAAGGTAACAGACCCATCTGACCTTTAATTTCACTGATAAGGATTAGGTTGAAGCCAAGTGTTTTAAAAAGATAGTTAATTTAAAGTTAATTTGAATCCATTTAAATTATAGTGGTACACAGGAGGCAGAAAAATCATGAAAGTGTAACTACTTGCATGAGAAATACTGCTTTTAGCCATTTAATTATCAATATTTATTGAGCGCATACTATGTAATTGACACTTGGCTGGGCTTTAGAGGTAAAAAGATGAATAAGACGCAGTCCCACCTTAAAAACTTACCAGGCTAAGTGGTAGTAATGTCTTTAAGAGAAAATAAGTAACCATTTTATGAAAATATTTAATTTCAGCTCTTTTCATATTTCATGATGTAGTGCCATGATGTTGGGCTAGTATGTTACACATCGACTATTGAAATTTTTTTGAAAGATTAAGATACTGCATTTGAATTATGCTACCTTTTAACAATACAGCTTATTATTTAGGTCTTATTTTCTTTTTAGGTGGTTCAGTTCAATCGTTTACCTTTGGTGGTGAGTTTCATAGCCAGCAGCAGTGCCAATACAGGTGTGTTTTAATTACCTTAAATGCATCTTTTAATTCTATATAATACTTATCTGAACAGTCTAATATGATAGAAATAGTAAATTTAGAGTTGAAAAACCTGAGCTCATGGTCTGGCTCCACCATGTGTTCCTTGCTCTCTGGAGAAGTACCTTCTCCGAATTCTGTTTTCCATATCTGTATAATGAGCTTATATCTGCTTTCTCCATCTTATGGGGTTATTTTCTAGTTCAAATGAGATAGTATATGGGTAAGTGATCCTTTAAAATAGAAAGAGAAAATTAAACTTTATCTTTAACTCTTAATGCTACATCTTGCTCACATTAGAACAGCTTAAGAAAACAAAAAGAGAAGATAACCAAACAAAACACATAAATTGGGCAAGGATGAGTTAAATTCTGTATAGACCAATCTATTAGAATTTTTAAAATCTTGAACGATAGCAAGTTGAATGCAAGTGGGAATTTAAAAGAGTATGAATAGGATGAACATAATTCATGTTCTTCTCGAGTGTTGAAGAATTTGAGAACAAACACTAGGAAGCTGTACTTTCTATAGAAGATAGTAAGATCCCATTATATCCAGTAGCCTTCCCTGGATATTTATGTATAAACTGATAATATTCAGTTGAATTGTAATTTTTTTTTACTCTTTTTAAAGTAGGATTTAAAAGGTCTGTCTACTTCAGATTAGACTGCCGTTTAGAACTATTATACATTCCTTTTCTGTTTTTTTTCTTTCCCAGTTGTTTGATCTAGTTCTATTCCTACCCGTGTCACTGAAGCCAGTCCTTAGATCCCTTGTCTTTAAAATGAAGGATTTAGATTTGATGATCTATTAGGTCTCTTCCATTTCTAAATATTTTAAAGCTGTAAAATACTCAATGTGAAAACACTTTGTAAATTATATAAGATTGTAATGATGTCAGTATTTTAAGTATGTTAAACCTGTTGTGATAAATCACCACAACTATAATACTAAATCATCAGTTTGTATTATAAATTATGATAATGTACAGAATTATATTTTAGTACTTAGAACATTTCCTTGGGAACCCCAGATGCTTTTAATATTCTTTGAGACAGAGGAAGATGCTTATTTGTTTGAACATAAAATAATAGCATCTAAGGTGTATAGCTTTTAATTCTGGTAAACTAAGAAGGCTAGATATGCTAATTTCTAGACTTGGTTGTCTTCTAGATTCATCGTTGAACTTCCTTTTAAACGTGGAAGTGTATGTAAACTTCATAATGAATGTGGGTTTTTTGGTTACCTAGAATATTTGTTTTAGTTATGGGAAATAAGCTATGTCTCATTTACTCTTTAGCAACCAAATTTTGACAAGAGGGAATTTAAGTCAAAGACTTTTTTTCTTAGGCACATTTTTTTTCTGATGTTCTGATTTTTTTAATCTCTTTGTTTTAGGACTAATTGTCAGCCTAGAAAAAGAACTTGCTCCATTATTTGAAGAATTGAGACAAGTTGTGGAAGTTTCTTAACCTGACAGTGGTTTTGATGTCTATCATATCTTGATTTTAATAGACAACGATGTCATACCCAGCAATCTTTAGACCACACCAATACCTGTATCTATGTACTCAAGAAAGGGCCCCTTCTTCCACCTTACACTAGAGAAAGAGCCTGTAGATATAATTTATGGAAGGATTGATTATTATCCTTTCTTGTATAGAGTCTTATTTACTGAGATCTGGGGATACAGAAATGGTTCAGCTGTTCACAGCTCCCATGGAGTTAGTCCAGTCACCAAATCTGCATGAAATTCTATGCAGTGGGTCAGAATCAAAATGGTACTTTGATCCATTTGAGCCATGAAATGTCCCTATTGTATAGTACACCCAGGCCTGCAGAATGAAGCAGACCCTTTTTATTGTGAATAATGAGGACATATTTTTTTCATATTGTTTTAGTTCTTGCATTGAGTGTGAGGAAGATAAAATGGCTTAGTAAAAGTAATAAAATCAGTACAATCACTAACTTTTCTATGTATATTATTTTGCATTATAGATGAATATTACTAATCGATATGATTCTTCTCAGAGGGTGCTGCTCTTTAATGAAAATGATAGCTAATGGTTTTTTCCTCCACTCTGCTTCCTATAACCAATCAGTGTTTTAATGTTTGTGTGTTCTTTATAAAATTTGTTATTTTTTTGTTTCTTTATGAAATTTAGATGTGATTTATTATCAAACTCTGTTTCCAGTATTGGTATGTAAACATGATAGTACAGCCATTTTTTTCGTACATGGGTATAAATAAAATAGTATTTTTAAAAGTATAGTTTGATTACCATATAGTTTTTTTTCTCCTGACTTCTTTCAAAAGTTTAAAGAATGTAATTCATTCCTTTCAACCACATGAGTAAGTACTGAGTGTTTTTTGTAGATATTGGTTTAGAGACTTATTTTCAGTTGGAAAATAAACCTTATCCATGAGCCTAATTTAATCTCTGAAATTGCTAACACACTTCTAGAATATGCCCTTTATATTCAGAAATACAGTCCATCATTAGAAATTGTTACTTTCCTCCTAGGTTCTTTCCCAGTCAGTCACTGGTACAGTTCAGTACAAATGCACTGAACACCTAGTATGTACCATTCACCGGCGCTACCACAGTGCAGAATTCTAAGGAATACATTTCACATCTATTACTGTACTCCAGGAGTGCATTTTACATGGAATGTGTGTTAATGCAGTTCGTGGAGTTGTGCAGTGAGGTGGTCGGCCAGGCACTGTGCCTGCATGCTTCTTTGCCTCACTCCCTCTCTCCCTCCTTCCATCCTATGCAAATATGAAACTAAATTGTGGTAACCCACCCCTTAAAGAATTTATAGTTCAGTAAATGAAATATGTATATGAAATTCTGTGATGATGCTATAAAAACAGAATAGAGGCATTTAAATTGGACAAGACCAA